TACAAACATTTCTATGATCAGACTTATAAAACATTTCTAAATTCTTCAAACATTTCAAAAATATATTGAGCCAAATACAAAATATTTTTTTCAGATATAAATATTTCTAAGATCTACAGATATATTGGGCCAGGATCGCGCATTGCGCGACCAGACATCACTAGTATATATTAGAGGAAAGGAGATGGGGTAATGACGTGTCTTCCAATTGCCTATAAATTGATTTCACTGACACGTGTCATTTAAGTCTGGGTCACTCATTAAACAGTAATAATATATTTGTAAAATCGTTATTTTATAAATTTAACATTATTGAATTATTTTTTAATTAGTTAGTTTTTTATTTTTAAGTTTTCAATAGCTTAGGATAGATTTTACCCGCTACATATATCACATAAAAGGTAGTTGAAAGTTACTTTTTCTTTTCTTGAAGGTAAAAGATTAATGCGCCAAGATAGCGATTTACTTTATATTTTTCATTCATCCTAAATTCTTTGTCTATGAAAAAAAGATATTCCATTTTTTTGCAGGTTTACTTTCAATCTCATCCAATTCTTGAAATTCCATTATTAATTTCCCCCCCAATATATATTCCCTTTTATTGTACTAATCTGGGATTGCATTTTTTTCTTGCATGATTGTTTGCATGCATTTATCTTTGGTTTTCTGATTTGTTATTGCTACTGAAATAATTTGTACTTTGATTAAAAAGGGTGAGACTTGAGCTGTGTTTTATCGGCCAGAAAATAGATTTTGACAGCTCTGTTTTATCTGAGACTCATTGTTCATGAATTTAATTTTTTTTTTTCAATGAAAATGGTAGAACACGAACAAAATGTAACGCAGATTGAAACCAACCAATGGATCGAGTAATTATAGAGGTGAAGGTACTATAAACTCAGTACAACCCAGATAAAGTACGCCACAATTTACGATAAACATCTAAAGCGTGTGATGGTCAAATATATCCTCAAAACCTACAATTTTATTATTCATGAATTATTGTATATATAATTTAAATAAAAATATTTTAAAAATATATTTGATTTTATCTATACCGTGTTTGAAATTCAGTTTACCCTTATTTTCACTGATAAACACCATTAAACAACCCGATATGTTTTTAAAAAATTTTCAAAATGAATCTCTCCTTAAATTTACTAAAGTAGTTCGACAAACATGACTCATATATTTTATAATTGACGAAGTGTATTATTAAATGTAATTGATATCAAAATATACTCTGTTGACCAAAATAATAAACTAGAGGTTTTAGGGTTTATTTTAGTCGTAATTTATAGCATGATTGGAAGTTCAAACCAAGCAAATCACTGCTAATATAAAATTACAAGGAGTTAAATTGGTGTTAAAAAATGTAATCGCAAACACATAGGTGAACAAAAAAGCAGTTTCGAGCTACCAATTGGCAGTTTCGAGCTACCAATTGAGTCTACTTAATGGACTGATTAAAAGGAAACAATCGATAAATTATTTATGTACAAATTGGTATCAAGTAGGCTCGGTAACTTATATGTTCAGTCCATTTGGAAAAAGAAAATCTCGGTCCCATTGAGTCACAAAAAAGTAGGGAATTTCTTAAGAAAATAAAAAGAATAAGACATATAGATATTGTTAGTTTCTAAAGAATTTAAAAAAGTTAAGAATTTCTCATGACTTTCTCACTATTGTTCTTTAAGATTAATTGTGCTATTTGTGTTTGATAAATGGCTATTTGTTGCAGGAAAAAAAATAAACGGGAAATCATCATTGTTGACATTATTATCATTTTATTTTGTAGCAAATCTGATCCACTCAAAGAGAGAAAAATGTTCTTTTCTGAATGAAGAATACATCAACAGGTTGAAACACATTCTTGGATGTTATTCACTACTTTGATAGACTTGGTCTCATGCGTAAAGTAATCTTAATTTTCTGCTATTGTAAATGGACATTCATTTGGTTGAGCAAGGCAAGAAGCAGACTAAAAGTCCTTTTTTTTTTTGTTTTTTTCCCTTAGCAAAGTAATAAAGATGAGAAGAAATATGATCAGACTTTAGATTCATGACTAACTGAAGATACAAGCTACGAAATCGAAAGCATTATCCACGACATCTTCATTTTTTTATATTTTTGTAAACCAAGTTTGAATTAGATGTTTTAATTTAATTCTGATTTCTTTTAAATCACATGTTTCAATTAATACCTAATTATATCTTATCTCTATGTTTCGTTATTAATAGTTGGGTTTGAAAACTGAAAAATTAATCATGCCATGACTTGGCCTTAAATTGTTCCAACGGGTTGATCCCCTTGGATCTATTGATTTCGCCAAAATTTTTGGGGCATTTAATAGTAACTTATGTGTGATATATATAGAGCAATTTTAGGATTTTATCACATTTTTAATTAAAAATCAGGTTTGATTTAGAAAATTTAAAGCAAACAATATTTCAATTAATGCACGATTATTTCTTATTTCTACGGTTAATTATTAATATTAAGGTTTTGAAACTAAAAGCGAATCTGGCATGATTTGGCCCGAATTGTTTCGGCGGGTCGATCTCCATGGATTTATTGATTTGTTCGATATTTTTAGTGCATTTAACGTTAAGTTATGTATGATATGGAGAAATTTAGGTTTTTTTTTGCATCTTTATTTTGGTTTTTTTTAACCAGTTTTGATTTAGAATTTTCGAATTTTGATTTCATTTAAATCAAATAATATTTTCATTAATCATAATTATATCTTATCACTATGGTTAGTTATTCATATTTGGGTTTAGAAACTAAAAATGAATCTGACTATTATTTGGTCTCGAATTGTTTCGACGGGTTAATCTCCTGAGTTATATTGATTTGGCCAAGATTTCTTGTAAATTTAACATTAAGTTATGTGTAATATATACCAATGGTAGGGTTTTTTGCAGCTTTATTTTAATTTTTTAAAACTGGATTTGACTTAGAATTTTTGAATTTCAATTTCATTAAAGCAAACAATATTTCAGTTAATGCATGATTATATTTTACCTCTACAGTTAGTTATTTTGGGTTTGGAAACTGAAAATGAATTTGGAGATGGTTTTTCTTTTTTTTTTTTTTTAGTTTAATGGGTTGTCGAAAATATTAAAATAACAACTAAAAACTATTACATATTTTTTTTGTCATAAATACTAAATAGTAGCAAACAATAACTTTTACCACCAAATAGTGTCTATTATTTGTTAGCTTAAAGGGATCAATAGTGGTTCCTCATTTACCCCCGGCGTGCATCGAACCCGTGACCTATTGCAAACAGGGGAGGCGTCTTACCACTATGCTGTACCTCATATTCATCTTTTTTTTTTTACACCATAGAGTATTGTTTAATCAATATAAATACGCAAAATTTAGTCATTATTAAAATTTTAATTTTCTATGCTTTCTTAAATAATCATTCCAACGCATGTGTTTGATGTTAGGCCATCGCCTAGTCATTTTGTTAAAAAATCAGACTAAATTGTTTCCAAATTTTTCAATGTTTGCAAATATTTTGGCCTACCAGTATCCACAATGATGATAAATACTTAGTAAAAAATCACTTTATTATAGTATTTATTATTGTGTTGAGTGTGATAATAATATTATACAGTGTAAGAATTTTTACGTGGTATAATACACTTTTTGGGATTAAAATGTAATTATTGTGATATAAGAAATCAAGAATATTATTCAGTGTCAGAGATATAAGGTCAACCATGTATATCAAGAAACAAATGCAGTTATGAGACTTGCTATAGCATCTTCGGGAACACTACAAAGATATGCCAACCTAGTAAAAACTTTCTACAGCTATAAGAGGCCTAATGCTCTTGGACCAGCAAGAATGCCCATATGTGAGAATAATACAGAGCTAATGATCGTTACCAGCGTCCTTTATTGAGTAATTCAACAGTAAGGTGGTGGATTAACGAGGAGGAGTAGAATGTCATAATTTTCATCAACGTCCTTGGTGAGTTATTCAACAGTAAGGCGGTGCGATCAAGAGACTATTTACCATATCTATGTAATAGATCTTTCCTATATTTACCATATATGCTTCTTTGTAATTAGTAAGTCTTAAGCATTGCAAAACTTTTTCTTTTAAAATCTCTTTTACCCTATTAAAGCAGAAAACATGATGTTGATGTGGTAATTTTTTATAAAAATATTTTGGCTCCAAATGCACCATATTGCATAAACTATTCTGCCACGTGTCACCCCCTTTTAAAAACAAAAAAGATATTTATAATATTAACGAAGAGATCAGATGGCCATGTTCATTCAAATTTTGAATTTGACAGTGAATGGAACTTTCCTTCTCAACTTATTTAGGACTTTCAAAAAAATTAATTTTTGGTCAATCAATTATCTTCATAAAAAACTAAATTCATTCCTAATCAGTTTTGATTATTTACATATCAATTTATTAGGTGGGAGGACGTCCCCGGGCATTTGCCCGGGGCAAGCATCTAGTATATCAATAAAACGGGTGCTACTCCTGCCAGGTACTGCCTTGTTTCTACGAAAACAGGGCAATACCTATTTTATTTTATTATACTTTTACCGCATAAACCAATGTAGTGAAAAGTTGAATAAAAATATAATATTAAAAATTTATGATATTATACTCACACTATAGTGTAAACCATTGTTGATGTCTAATAATTAAGTGACTATAATTTAAATAATGATAAAAATAGTGGAAATGTTATGTGAATAGTCACAATCATTTTAACTAGCCTTTTCCTACTTTTAACCTAACTAAGAAAAATTATTCCGAAAAATAATAACAACTCTAGTGAAACTAAAAAAAAAAAAGGAGTAAACTATGTTATAAAACATCTTTTCATCTAGCGGCTAAAACCAAAACATTTCAATATCTGGAAAAAACAATTTTTTAAAAAGTACCAATATATATATTCTTTTTTAAAAGTACCTATATAAAATCCTAGTCCAATACGAATAGGTTATTGATTGGGTACGCAAAACCCCAATAGCCCGGTCAGGTGGAGATACGCATCACCGTTAAATTCCAGGGGTATCCATTGTAATTGGACACGTGTCCCGCCCTAGCTGGTATAAATACATCGGCAAAATCCTCCCCGAAAGCTCCTCCAAACCCTCATTCTCGGACACCACTTTTTATCATTCCCCAGTCCGGGTTAATAGTAAGGAGCAACCCAATTTGATTTACACGATTTTCAAAAACCATCGCATTTTTGGAAACCCTAGATCCACCAACGCTCAATCAAGGTACTTTGCGGATTTTGTTTTTTTTTTTTGAATTTTTATTTGATTGTACTGGTTTTTTGTAATTGTTGTTGATTGTTTTTGAATTGATTTGTGATTGTTTTATTCAGATGGTGTCTGACGCTGCCAAGAAGAGGGATGCCCAGAAGAAGGCCGCCGCCGCAGCTCGCAGAGGAGGTAAAGCAGGTACCGCTGGGTCTAAGGCCGCCAAAGAGGCGGCGGCGGCGGCGGCCGCCGCTGCTTCTACCACGTCAGCTTCTGGTGAGAATGGAAACGTAGCTAATTTGTCTAATGGAGTCGGGATGCTTCAGATATCAGATCGGACTTGCACCGGTGTGCTCTGTTCTCATCCCTTATCCAGGGATATTCGGGTGAGTTAGTTTAAGAGATCTATTTATTTATTTATTTTTTGGGTTATCCTCAGGTTTGTGCTGGTAAAAGCTTTATTTTTTCTGTTACTTTTGGATTTATATTTTGTCATTTGTAGCTACCATTGAAACTCTGCGCGGAAGTGAAATTAGTTTGTGGTTGTGCTGGATTTCTGATGGGTATTTTTGTCAGTTGTCTATGTCTGAGTCTGATGTTGTAATAATTTATGCGAAAAAATAATAGAGAGCATGCTTGCACCATTGTTTTGGTTATCTCTTTGATGTATCTTAACTGTAAAGATTTTGCTCTTATGTGTATGTCAGATGTCTATTCAAGTGAAATGTTTTTTTTTTTGTTGTTTCCCTCCGTCTTGTTTTGTGTCCTTCCTCCTCTCTCGTAGGGAGTATTTTGTTTCATATGATTTCCACATGAAATTCATGTTACCCACCCCTAATCTTGAACAAGGTGTTTTCAGTTCAATGTAATTTGGAAGTGATGGTTTGATGCTGATAGTAATTTGGAATCCCCTTATAGGATGAGGAAAAAAGCAAGCGCGGGTTCCCTTTTTTGCTGTCTTTAATTGACATCTACCTAATACCTAGATTGTGGAAGTGCAAAGATGTTTTGTTAGTGAATTCATCATTCATGTATTGTCACTATTAATATGTTCCAAAATGTTTTGAAGCCTTATTGTGATTAGAGGAGCAGATTTTAAAACAATGTGATTCCGTTTTGGATACAGCTGTGATTTTTGTATTTTGATATCTACGATTGGTTTCTTAAGAAGGATTTTATTTTATTTTCATTTTAATCTACCTTTTTTATAAGCTGTGTTGTGTCATTGGGTTGTTCTTATGTTTATTGAAAGTTACTTCATCGGTTCCTAGGTTTGACCAGCTTATTTTTGGAAATAATTTGGTGTACATCACTTGCTATATGAATGCGCAAATTTCATGTTATGGTGAATTTTTTTGAGTTGATAAAATCGCTTGGATTGTGGATGTACTCATTTTTTTTTTCTTCTTTTTTATTTGCAGATAGAGTCTCTGTCACTTACGTTCCATGGGCATGACCTTATAGTTGATTCAGAACTCGAATTAAATTATGGCAGGTTTGTATCTAGAGCGTATCAAGTATCTACTTTGCAATATAAAGATGTTTTTATTTCATGTGTATGACACTTGTACATTATGTCTCTTCAGACGTTATGGTTTGCTTGGATTGAATGGCTGTGGGAAATCTACTCTTCTTGCTGCAATAGGGTGTCGGGAACTACCGATTCCAGAGCATATGGATATTTATCACCTTTCAAGAGAGATTGAAGCTTCAGACATGTCTTCTCTTCAGGCTGTTATAAGTTGTGATGAGGAGAGATTACAGTTGGAGAAAGAAGCAGAAGCATTGGCTGGACAGGTATGATGGGTGGTCCTTTGATAGTTGTGTGGTGATATATTTATCTATTATTGTCAAAGAATAGTATTTAACAGTTGTCACCAACTATTTGCTTTATTATGCTAGGACGATGGTGGTGGTGAGGCACTTGAGCGCATCTATGAACGCTTAGAAGCCATGGATGCAGCTACTGCAGAGAAGCGAGCTGCTGAGATCCTGTTTGGTCTTGGTTTCAACAAAAAGATGCAAGAGAAGAAAACAAGAGACTTTTCTGGTGGCTGGAGAATGAGGATTGCTCTTGCAAGAGCTCTATTTATGAACCCCACTATACTGTTACTCGATGAGCCGACAAATCATCTAGGTAATCTCATTGTTCAGTTAACACTTGTCCTAAACTTCTCTCATTTTTCCCTTTTAGTTTTAGTTTATTGATTGCTGTTTGCTGTTTCTTCCATGGAATGGAGAGTTGAGATATGTTTTCAGCATAATTAACCTGGGAATTGGGACCAGTTTTTTGGTTCTTGGTTTCTTGCTTCTTAAATGTTTTGTTACCTCTGCAGTGCACTTTCTGCATGGTTCAAATCTAAAGTTCTTATCTTTTTGTTGATCCGTGCTTTTGTTTTATCCACACGCACTCATGTATTATATTGGGAATTGCAGATCTGGAGGCCTGCGTGTGGTTAGAAGAAACTTTGAAGAACTTTGAACGTATATTGGTTGTGGTCTCACATTCTCAGGATTTTCTGAATGGTGTATGTACAAATATTATCCATATGCAAAGCAAGAAGTTGAAGCTTTATACTGGTAATTACGACCAATATGTTCAGACTCGTTCCGAACTTGAAGAGAACCAGATGAAGCAGTACAAATGGGAGCAAGAACAGATCGCTAACATGAAGGAATACATCGCTCGCTTTGGACATGGGTCAGCCAAACTTGCTCGCCAAGCACAGAGCAAAGAGAAAACTTTGGCTAAGATGGAGCGAGGTGGCCTCACAGAGAAGGTGGTGAGGGACAAGGTTCTTGTTTTCCGGTTCACTGATGTTGGGAAGCTTCCTCCTCCCGTCCTTCAGTTTGTGGAAGTTTCTTTTGGATATACACCTGATAATCTTATATACAAGAACCTAGACTTCGGTGTAGATCTCGACTCTAGAGTAGCCTTGGTGGGTCCCAATGGTGCTGGGAAAAGTACATTGCTTAAGCTGATGACAGGGGATCTAGTTCCTCTTGATGGCATGGTACGCCGGCACAATCACTTGAGGATTGCTCAATTCCATCAGCACTTGGCTGAGAAACTTGACCTGGAGTTGTCAGCTCTTCAGTTTATGATAAAAGAGTATCCTGGGAATGAAGAGGAAAAAATGAGAGCCGCAATTGGCAGGTTTGGGCTAACAGGTAAAGCACAAGTTATGCCGATGATGAATCTGTCGGATGGCCAAAGGAGCAGGGTGATTTTTGCCTGGTTGGCTTTTAGGCAGCCCCAAATGCTTTTACTAGATGAACCTACTAACCATTTGGATATTGAGACGATAGATTCACTGGCAGAGGCTCTGAATGAATGGGATGGTGGCCTGGTCCTTGTTAGCCACGATTTTAGGCTCATAAATCAGGTCGCCCATGAAATATGGGTTTGCGAAAATCAAACTGTGACGAGATGGGAGGGCGACATCATGGGATTCAAGGAGCACTTGAGGCAAAGGGCAGGCTTGTCTGATTAAATTGCGGTGGTGCGGGGTACGTTTTATTGTGTTTCAGTCAATCTATTAGTTGTATTGCTAGAATCTCTCAGCTGCTTTCAAGAGTCATTATGACGAAAGTGAGAATAGAAACCATATGTATTTGGTGGTTTCTTTCAGTGGGATCTACCATTATGACGGGCGACAGGGTACGTTTTATTGTTTGAGTCAATCATTAGTTGTATTGCTAGAATCTCTCAGCTGCTTCATGAGTGATTATTACGAAAATGAGGATAGAAATCGTATGTACTTGGTGGTATCTTTCAGCGGGATCTACTATTATGACGGGCTACGATGTACTAGTATTGTTTTTGAACTGAGCTTATTTTTGGATAAATGTTTTTGCCTCGTGACAATGACATATACTGTGACTACTGCTACTATTTTGTTCCACGCCCTAAAAAATAAAAATTCTTCTATTCTGGTTTTTAATTCACTTGTTGCATTTTTGTTCTAGTGCTAGTAATCACTTATTACTGAAACAAAAAGCTTCAAAATGGAATTGGTGCATTGATTTATCGATTTTCAAAAATTTCACCAAAATTAAAAAGCATCTGAACAAAAATTTCAAAAAAGAAAAAAAAAACACTAAATTTAAAATTATAACAAGATTGCATAGCACATCATTACATGTGCATGCTATACTTACACGAAAAGAAAATAATGTCCCTAGAAAGAATTGAAAAAAAAGAAAAAAATTCAATGAAGTTTACAAGAACAAAAACAAGTGGTAGAAATAATAACACATATTTATATATCTTCATTTTCTAACAAAATCAATATACTCCACAAAATAGAGGGGGGAGGGGAGAGTTACTGCTAAGTAATTCGATAGTTGTGTTCAAACGTCCAACCTTAGTTTGAAAACAGATGTTAATTGACAGCTATGATTTATCACTAATCAAGCTTCTAGTCTGTAGCCAATGTACCGACTCTTTATACGCATGGACTGATGAAGTAGACAGAGGGGGTGGTCTGGAGAAGGAGAGCAAGACATTGAGATTTACACCATTGCACATTTTTTTTTGTAAATATTGGATATCAAAAGAAATATTTACAATATTTATCGTCGACATTTATAAAAACATACATTTGCAATTACAATTTAAAGGTAAAAACTAACATGTGCATCGCACGAGCTAAAATCTAGTTAAAGATATTGGCATTGTTCTTTAAACTTTGTTTGTATCCTTTGTTTGCTACTATATTAAAATACTTGGACATCAAATTTAAAGTCAACTGATAATTAGTGAAATGACTAGTATGTCTTATATACTTTTCATGATTGTTTAGTGAATTACCCGATATGTGACAATGTACTGTAATAACAAGCTATTACAACACAAAACAAATTAATTAATTATTTTTCTAGAAAACTTAAGAATCCAATACAAAACTAATATGTACAGAGTGGAGTGGCTCAAAGTTGTTATTTACAAAAAAAAAGAAAAGAAAAAAAGTTCTGGTTATTTAGCAAACATGATACGAAAAAATTAACTTGAAAACCTTTGAATGTTAGGGGAAAGAAAAGAAAATTAAACAGAAATTGTCTTGTTAAAGGTAGTAGGTGTTGGCGGCTACAAACTTGCTTTACTTTTTCTTTTTGGTGGACAAAATATAGAAACTTTCGGTAGGGAGAGTTGTCTATTTGTCACTTTGTGAACACAAATTTGCAGCCGACCATTGTTTTTTTTGGTCTACTCTCAACTTTTTAATTTCCTCTTCAAACTATCATTCTTTTCTTTTTCTTTACAAACTTTTATCATTTATATTATCATGGCTTGTGGAACTAACGTTCTTGAGGACCATGACACGGAAAATTTAAGTGACAAAATAATGTCAGAACCAAAACAATTTTGACTTTTCAATTTATATATGTTACATCATCAAGAGTACAATTTTGTTGGATATCCTATTTTCTTTATTTTTTTTTTTTAAAAAAAAAACCCAGAAAATTTCCTTTGTACCATAGTAATTTTAATACTAAATGTTTGAAATTAGACAGTTTAATATTAGAGATTATTATTATTATTATTTTTTTTGGAAACTCACTATATATTATATGTCAAGATTTACATAGTACATGAGTTCAGAGACGCCCTAGCCAACCTATTCATAGTTTCTATTAAATCCCTAGACATTTTACCATATGGAAACTATCTAACTCATAAATCTAAAGATAAAAATCTAATTGTGAAAATTCGTAAATAGAACGAAAAGAACACACTAACATGCACAAGTTTAAAATTGTATTTTGAAATAAATATATGTAAGAATAGGAAGTGTATGAATTGGCCGAAATTTATCCCTTCAAGAAAACTTATTCATTATTATCCATCAAAAAAATAAAAAAAAAGAATTGTTCAACCAAATGAATTAGATATGGTAAGATCTACAAGATTTCATTGCAAAACGTACCGAAAGAAAGTAACTTCTCGTTCTTATACAGAAGCGTTTTGTTTAAAAAAGTATCGCATAAATTCAATGTTTAAAGTAACTGTTGAAAGAATTGTTAAACTTTTTTTTTTTTGAGTGGAATAATGTTTAATGTAATTTTTATGTTAATTAAGAATATGGTACGTAGACAATAGAGATGACACATTGCCACAGAGAAGCTAATTTCACAGCTGATTACCTTGTCGGAATGCAAGACCAATCTGAATGGAGTTTGAAAATCTTTTGTAATCCTCCGTTGGCAGTGCTATCCTGGTTACGTCACGATGTAATTGAGGTAGCACACCGGCGAAGTGTAATAGTATAGCTTAGGTCACTCTGACCTCCTCTTTTGTACCTAAAAAAAATTATGGTACGTAGGTAAAAAAATGGGAAAAAAATTGTACAGATTAAATAAATTAATTTATCTTTGAAATAAATACTATTACAAGTCACAAAACAGATCATAACGAACGTGAAAGCTGATGAAACTGACACTGCTGCAATTCCCCATAAATCCTTTGTTCAAAAAGTTTTTTCTAAAACCAAAAACCATTCTCTGGGTTTTATTCTGTTCTTTCTGCTGGAATCAAAGTTTTCGATTTCTGCAAAAAAAAAAGGCTCTGTTTCTTCCAAGTTGGAAACTTGGATTTGATCATCAGGTTGGATTCTTCTTCGTTTTCCTTGTTTCTTATCAATTCCTTTTTTGTGAAATTTAGTTTATTTTTTTTTTATTTTTATCTTTTTACCGGCATTGATGGATGGATATGCTTCCTTTGTGTTCTCACCATCGTTGACTTGCTTTTCTTCGATTGGTTTTTCATTGGATGTCAGCTTTACTTTGTTCATTCTCCTCTTTGTAACGTACATCCAAATGGGCTTGATTTAAATTCATTTTGTAGTTGACATTGAATTGGGATTTATGTCTTTCATTTCTTTCTAATGTTTCATATGTAGAAGATTGTATTGGCAGTTTGATTGTGTTGATGCATGGTGTCATTTCGGTTTTATTACTTGGATTACCATTTTGATCATGTTGAATTTAATCCCTGCTTTGTTTGGTGATATATTTTTTCCTAGTTGAATCATCTGCTCACCCTTTTTCCCCTCCCCCTTTTTTTGTCAGAACTAAGCGGGCATTACCATTAATTTGATTATTAAATTGTGAATTCGAGTTCTGTGTATGCGTATATTGCTCGGACATGGATAGAAGGGAGAGTGCATGTCTTAAAGTAGATCACAGAGGTGTACACCCTACCATTGCTGCAGTTTTGGCCTCTGCATTTCTTGAATGGTTTTTGATCTTCCTGCTGTTTATTGATGCTAGTTTCTCGTACATAGTCACCAAATTCGCTCGTAGTTGTAAACTGCAAATCCCATGTCTTATGTGCTCAAGACTTGATCATGTATTGGGAAAAGAAAAAGAAGGCTTCTATTGGGATTTGATCTGCAATGGGCATAAACTAAAGATATCTTCTTTAGTTCTTTGTAGACACCATAACAAACTTGTTGACGTTCACGAAATTTGTGAAAATTGCCTTTTCTCCTTTGCCACTGTGAATAAGTCAAATTCTGAAACGTACAGACTGCTAGTAGGGAAATTAGGAGATGGAACTCATCAGGAGCTTGATCATGATCATTCGCTTGCTGATCATGACATTAATGCGACTGATGGAAGAAAGTGTTCTTGTTGCAATGAGCATTGGATTCCTAGAGGTCACATGAGCCTGCTGTTTCCAACACAATCAATTGGTGACGAGTCAGGTGGTTTTGGTTCACCTCTATCGGCAACTAAGCAACATGACGTAAATGATCCCGACGAGATCCACGATGTTCTGTACCAGCAAACTAGAATTTTCCAAACGGAGAAGAGGAGCATTGACCCGTTGCCACATGTTGGGTATGAGAAGGTCAGGATGAATTCTGATTCAGAATCGGAAGCTGTTCAATCTGATGATGATTTTCCAACCGCACGTTCTACGACTGATCAACGAAAAGAGATCTTCGATACTAAACATGAAGAAAATGATTCACATATTGATGATGTTGATCCAGAAAAAACTATATATCCAGCTTCTTCAATCATAGAGTTAGAACCACTGCCGGATCCCACTAGTGTGCTTTGTGCACCTGCAGTGCCAGGGTTAAGAGAGCTCAAACAGGAGCATGTTCCACTCAAAACAGATCTTTCTGCAACATCTGATCTGATATCTTTTGATGATGTTCTTCAATCTTCCGATGCATTTCCATCTCCAGTTAATGATTCTCAAGAGAAGGGTAAGTGTCAAATATAAAATACTAAAGTGTGTGCTGCATTTTTCGTGTACTTTGGGTGCCATTTCCTTTGAAGCTATGAGTTTTGAAATGTTTGCTTTGTTGTAATGCATTCATGCTTCTTTTCTGCGTCAGCTGATGATTTCGGGTAGCTAAATGAGTTATCTTCCACCCCGCTTAACAGAACCCTAAAAATAAAGCAAGTATGGAAAACAAAAATGTTTTGATCAGTCATGAAGTTGAAGATTTATATGTTCTTACTCCTAGTTCTGTGCCTTCTACCCATTAGTTGGATGAAAAAAGTTATGTTGAGACACTATGTGCTGTAATGGACTAGAAGAGTCATCATTGACAATTAATTCTTTTAGCTTTGTGTTGATAATGGACTAGACCAAAATGGCTCAACTAAATTCTAGTGCTTCTCAATTTTAGTGAAATTGCAAATCAATGTATCAAATGCATGAATGCATCTAGTGTCATACTTAAACAGCCTCTCTGTATTGAAATTCAGGGGTAAGGCTGTGTACATCTTAACCCCCAGACCCCAATGAAGTTGGGGATATACTGGGTATGTTGTTGTTGTGCTGTATAGTGTACACTATGTGCTGTAATGGTCAAGATTCATTGATGATGATATTTGAATATTCTTACTGATGAACTGAATTTAAGCAATTTACTTACGCTTTCTTGTTTTCTTATGGTGCAGAGTCGGAGAAAATGGGTAACACGCCTAGTGAAATGACTGCAGCAACTAACTCCACAATATTAAATGAAAAGCAATCTGATTTAAAATCAGATACATTTGACTCTGGTCCACAGATTGTCAGTACTTTGGAACTTGGTGATGCATATAAGCTTGCTGTTAGGGGACGACAATTTTCAGGAAAGCTTTTGGAACAGAGATCATTCAAGGACTCATCAAGAATGAGTGAAGACTTGAAGCTCTTGCTATCACAACTATCTGCTGCTCGCGGGATTGAACCTTTTTATGATATAAGCCCCAGGATTTCAGGAAATATTGACGATTTCAGAACTGATGATTCTAATTCTGTTGGGATACAGATGCTGCAGAAGAGGATCTCTCTGGAGAGGAATGAGTCTAATATATCACTGGATGGTAGTATTGTGAGTGAGATTGAAGGTGAAAGTGAAGTGGATAGGTTAAAACGGCAAGTTGAGCATGACAAGAAATTAATGAATGCTTTGTATAAAGAGCTAGAGGAAGAAAGAAATGCTTCTGCAATTGCAGCAAATCAAGCAATGGCCATGATTACTCGATTGCAGGAGGAGAAGGCTGCACTCCAAATGGAAGCCCTGCAATTCATTAGAATGATGGAAGAGCAAGCTGAATATGATGGTGAAGATTTGCAGAAGGCAAATGACCTGCTTGCTGATAAAGAACGGGAAATTCAAGAGCTAGAAGTGGAGCTTGAAGCCTACAAGCAAAGAATACACGATTTGACCCAAATAACAGAAGCAAACACTGTATCTAATAGACAGATAAAGCTAGCGCCAAAAGATAAAAGTTCTATAACAGATCGAAATGATGGTGATATGTCAGATAGCTGCAGCAAAATTCACGAGGCAGAGAAATGTAAGCACAAGAACACAAATATGAACAGTTCACTGCCAGATCGCAAACATGAATCATATTTTATTCTCCAGTCATTAAGAAAATTGGAGAAAAAGCTCCAACTCTTTTTAAGCAATGATGGGGCTTCACTCATATCAAATGGCGAAAACCTCTGCACTGAGGAAAAGCTTGAAACAATACACTGCGAGCTGACTGCTGGTGATGCTTCTCTAAGAAGTGATGAAATTGAGAAGCTCGCTTTGGTTGAGCATTCTGTAGCGCAGGAAAGAAGAGATTGCGCTCAAGGTGAGACGGCTACCCAATATGAGGACAATCTACCATCATGCGCAGGGAGTATTGAACTTCAACTTGACAGAATTATGTGCCAGGATGATGAATCGGAGTTGAAAAAAGAGTTTCTTGTGTTGACTGGAAGGTTGGAAGCACTTGAAGCAGAATTCAGATTTCTTGAGAACTCAATAAAATCACTCGGTAAAGGAGATGAGGGACTTAAATTTATTCAAGACATAGCTTCTCAAGTGCGAGAACTACATGCAATTAGTTTCAAAAGTAGTAACTAAGAAGTCCTGTGTTATTCCTGCATGAGGTAATTGCTCTATTTCATCTCTCGAGACCTGTTTCTTCCTTTGTATGCTGCTAAAAGCACCACTTCACTTGTTAATAGTTACTTAAATCCTACCATCGAAGTTAAACTATGTGTCTCAAAATGCAAAGTCAAATTGAACGTTAGATCCACTAATAATCAGGTACTCATGTACTGTTTGTATGTATGACACTCTTATGCCCAAAATATCTCTGGCGAATCAGCAATTCTTCAGATCTTTGAATGTTTTGAGCATGATACTTCACTTCTATTTGCATCGATAAGTGTTCTAGCCTGATCCTTGTGCTTAGTTACGGTTTTTGAAGTCAAATACATATTACTTGCATTTTGGGAGTCAGTTTTGGAGTTATAAATATGACTAGATTTTAGGCCTCTTTAGTATATTCTCTATTTTCTTTTGCTAGTCACTGAACCGAGTATAGGTGGTTTAGTTTTCGGTTTCTGAGTCAAAAGACGCTGTTAAACAGATCGTTATCTTTAGGAATGAAATTAAACTGGTTTCCATATTTATCTTTTGTCTCTGGTTTTTCTGGGTTTTCTGAAAATAGGTCTAGCATCATTCTATTTCTCGAATGAAATCCCAGCTCTTTGCTTTATGAGGGGGTCCTGTCACCTGTGAGCGCATAAAATCATAAATGGGCATAATTTTCCAAGATACCGTTGTTCTTATCTTTCCTTTCTATTGTCTTACAGAATCCACATGTGTTGACAGGAAAGCAAACGTCCAGGTCTGGTTATGTCTTGTTTCCAGTATTCAGGAGAAAGATAAAGTTTGAAGAACTTATTAAAGTTCATTTTTGTAAAGCAGAGTAAAAAATCAAATTGTTATCACTACTTGGGTTCCTAGGAATCTAGCTTGACAATAGAATTATATTTCCTTAAAAAGCATTGTACAAATTTTGATATGGAGTCTAATTTCTTTAAATCATCCTCCTCGGTCCTCACTGTGACATCCTTCTCCTTTCTGTAAGGTTGTTTCTGCTATTATCACCTAGTTAGCTGGGGTCGATGAATGAACAAGAGATTTCCTGCAGTTGTTTTCACTTGCCAACTGTACATTTATAGAAGTGACATAACATCTATGTATTTACTCCTGCCTTTCTTGGTTCACTTTAGTTCCAGTTTGTTGGATGCCATGACAAGGACCACATGGATACTACCCATGAGGTATCCTTTGCACCTAGAACCACGCTGGATAGTGGTTTTGCTTCACTTCTTAGCCCTTGAATTAAGACCTAAGTGTCTGGTTGTGGGATTCTCTTTCATGGCTGTCCATCATAGTTTTTAGTGCCACTGCTGCTATAATAAACCACTAATTGAGCCCTGTCATTGCTATAGTTAAGTGATAAGCTGGTATTTTATGATTTCTTGCATACTTTTTGGTTAATGTGGAATCACGTAGTGAATGACTGGTAAAATATCCTCCGTATAGGTAGGTCGTGGTTGCGATACGTGGGTCATGATGGTTATATCATTATGCAACAAAAAGTAGAAACAGACCATTTGAAGCAAAAAAAGCGTGCCTTATAGTGGCATTGAATCTGGTGGTTCTCCCTTGTGTTATGTTGTGTTGAACTTAATTCTTTTATCTCTTTGTCCTGAATGATTAAATAATTAGTGATGAATAGCCGATCCCACTCTGACTCTTTACACTCTCTCCTTTTTCATTCTTTGCTTTTCCTTATATGTTTCTTATTTTGCGCCATGTTTCTGTTTCAGATGCCCATTTGCGAGAGAGATGTGTCTTTCAAAGAGAGGTGTAATGCCTTGTGTATCAGATACACTGACCCTTGATCCACGGTGAGCCAGGATATTAATTAGGTACTATCTGATTGTGGAGTTGCTGGGTGCGCTGTACAGTATGATTAGCCTTTTTTTCGGCATAAAGCAAGTAAAATATTTATTATTGTTTTTAGGTGTGTATTCTCTTGCCTGCTCTCCATCTTTCCCTCATTCAACTTTCCACATTGACTTCCGACTGAGTGCTTGGGAAATATTACTAGGAGCTTTAGTTCCATTTTGAGAGATTTTTATTCACCTTCTACGAGATGAGATTAATTTCTTTGCGGAGGGTTCTATTTTTCTGTTTTTTTTTTTTTTATAAATTTTGTTGTCCAATTTTTTTTGGTGTGTAGAGGAACTGAGGATGATAATTTATATGCAAAGTGAGCTTATATCGTGATTAATGTGTATTTTCTTTTCCATATCTATCACTCAATTTGACTACCTATACAATATATATACCTACTAACTACCATTCTGTATTTACAAATATACCCTGATCTAAGTAATTACATAATTCTATGTACAAGGTTACATCATCTAGAACTGAATCTTCTATACAGTTATCAATCTGTACAACTGCTGCTGCTCTTTCATAATTCTTCATTCCCCCCTCAAGCTTGGTATTGTGGAGATCACAAAATCTAAACTTGGACAATAACACTTGAAAGTGAGCAGCAGGAAGGGTTTTCATAAACAAATCAGCAGATTGCGTAGAAGAAGAAAGATGATAGGGATCAATAAAACCTGTTTTATACTGATTCCTAACAATGTGGCAGTCGATCTCAAGGTGTTTCGTACGCTCATGAAACACCGGATTAGCTGTAATATACAAAGCTGACTTGTTGTCACATGCAAAAGGTATAGGAAGAGACAGAGGTACCTTTAAATCCTTCAGAATGTACGAAATCCAGAATGTACGAAATCCAAAGCAGCTCGCAAACAGTAGCTCCCATACTTCGATATTCTGCTTCGCAAGAGGATTTAGAGGTAGTGGACTGCTTTTCTTTTTTCCAGGCAATGAGAGATGAACCTAGAAATATACAGTACCCTGTCAAGGAAAAACGAGTAATAGTACAATTGCCCCAGTCGGAATCACAAAAGGATTGGACATGAAGATCACTAGTACTGCTGTAAAATAACCCTAAAGAAGGACACCCTTTCAGATATCGGAAAACATGCAGGCCAGCAGTCCAATGAACTTCCCGAGGCTGTTGGAGATACTGACTAAGTTGCTGAGTGGCATACGTTATGTCAGGTCTCGTAAACCCTAAATACAAGAGCCGACCAACAAGACGACGATAGGCACTAGGCTCACCAAGTACATGACTACTATCATCATCTAACAAAAGTCCCTTTGGCAACGGAGTAGACACTGATTTACAGCCAAGTAATCTTACACTTTGTAACAAATCTAGAATGTACTTTCGTTGATTTAGAGAAATACCAGCTTCAGAACGAGCAATTTCGACACCCAAGAAATATTTTGCATGCTGTAAATCTTTGATAGTAAAGGCATCATCAAGAAATCTCTTAGTATCACAGATAAGAGGTTCAGAAGAACCAGTCAGAAGCACATCATCAACGTATACAAGAAGAACTAAGAAATTATTCCCAACAGATTTAAAAAATAGGCAATGGTCATGACCAAACTGTGTAAAACCAAAAGATTCCAACCTTTGAGTAAATTCGAGGTTCCACTGACGAGACGCTTGTTTCAAACCATAGAGTGACCTCTTGAGCTTACAAACTTGGTTGGGAAGAGCCTTAGAGTATCCAGGAGGAGGCCTCATGTATGCTGTCTCGTCTAGATACCCATGAAGATAGGCGTTGTTAATATCTATTTGGTGTAGAGGCCAAATACGTGCTGTTGCAAGGGCAAGAACTATTCTGACAGTAACTAATTTGGCTACTGGAGAAAATGATTCAAAGTAATCCTCCCCTTCCACCTGATTATACCCCTTCGCCACTAGCCTTGCCTTATACTTATCTACAGTCCCATTGGGATGATATTTAATCTTATATACCCATTTACAACCAATGGGTTTCTTTCCCTTCGGCAGGTCTACTAAATCCCAGGTCTGATTGTTTTCTAAAGCATATATTTTCCTGTTCATAGCTTCTTCCCATTCAACCTTATTTTTAGCTTGATCATAAGTACAAGGTTCTGGAATTTTAGACACATTAGCCAAGAAATCTATATATGATGGACAAAGAAAAGATTGTTGAATATATGGAAAAGTAGGTGGGAATTGAAATTTATTAGTGGAAGAAATCATTGTACTAGGATTGGAATCAGTTATATTGTGAGCATAGTCATTTAACCAGGCAAGCTTGGTTTTAGGTCTAGTACTCTGTCGTACCACGGGTAGTGGCATTGACGGAGAAGGGGTTATAACAGTTACTAGATTTAGAGTAGGATTTTCAGATATAGTAAGAGACAGACGAGAAGTAGACTGATCAAGTTGAAAAGAAGAAGGAGATTGATCAGCATTTAAGAAGGGTGAGTGAGAAGGATCAGGTTCCTGATGAGAAACTGGAACCAGTGGCAGTGGGAAAGATGGAGTCTCTGAAAGTGGAGTTTTATAAGGAAAATGAGCTTCATGAAAAACAACATCCCGGGACACACATATCCTTTTATCTTCAAGAACAAAGACCTTATACCCTTTTTGACCCTCAGGATAACCAACAAAGACCCCTTTAAAGGCCCTAGGAGCAAATTTGTCCTTGTAAGGCTGAGTATTTGTAATGTAGCATAGGCACCCAAAAGTCCTGAGATGAGAAATGTCTAGCTGAGCAGAATGAAGAATGGTATATGGAGACTTCCAATTCAGCAAAGGGCTAGGGAGTCGATTGATGAGGTACGTAGCAGTCAGAATGGCATGACCCCAAAAATGTTTAGGTAAAGAGGATTGGAACATAAGACTCGGGCGATTTGAAGTAGATGTTTGTGTTTACGCTCCACAACACCATTCTGTTGTGGAGTGTAAGCACATGATTTTTGATGTGAGATGCCAAAAGATGAAAATAAGGCTGAACAATCACTGTTAAGAAATTCAGTTCCATTATCAGAACGAATTATTTTAACTGTGGAGGAAAATTGGTTTTGGACCATTAAGAAGAAATTTTGTAGAATACTAGTGACCTCAGTTTTGTATCTAAGGAGAAAGGTCCATGTTCCCCTACTAAAATCATCTACAATGGTTAAAAAAAACCGTGTATTAGCTATAATGGGATGACTATAAGATCCCCAGAGGTCTGTATGAATCAGCTCAAAACACCTAGTGGTACGAATAGAACTTAGAGGAAAAAAATACCTTTGTTGTTTTGCCAAAGGACAAACTCCACAATTAGAAACATCAAAAGAATCAAGAAGTGATATTTTATTTATATGTTTCACTACAATACAGGAATGATGACCTAACCGATAATGCCATTTACTGATTACAGCTGTATTATTATTATCCTGGTCTGAAAAGGTTACAGCTGAAAAACCTTTGTTCTCAGAATGAGAAGAAAAGTTTTGATTTATATCAGGAAAATTTCTTAGTAAAATCCTAGGCAAAACCACATCTAAAACATTTTTGATATTACGAGGTTCAAAAGAACTCTGGTCCAGAATGTAGAGTCCCTTGTATATTCTTCCAATCCCAATGATTTCTTTAGTGGAAAGGTCCTGTAAGAATGAACAATCAGCTAAGAATCCACAATAAATGTTAGAAATCTTAGCTAATTTCTTTACAGATAACAGGTTATACCTAAAGCTAGGCACATATAAAGAATCAAACAATCTAACTTTGGAACTAAGATTGACATTACCAGTTGGGTGCACTAATTTTATACTCACATCTGGTAATGCTATTGGAGTAGTAGAGCTAACAGGTTTAACATCATTTAGTAATCTAGAGTCCATACATGTATCATTCGTGGCTCCTGCATCTTCTATCCAAAAAACACATGCATATGATTTAACTTCATTAAGGTATGGGAAAGAGGAGCTACCTGCAAATTCTTCATAGTGTGCGAAGTTGACCAACTGTGAAGATGATTCCATGTCAGCAGCTGGTTTCCCTTTGATAGCTCGATTAAGGTCCTGCTGCAAAGAGTTGAATTTCATCATCAATGCATTTACATCCAGGTCTGAACTTGCACTTGACTGCATATAATCAATCGGAGTCTCAACAGTTTCTGCAAAGTGAGCATAAGCCTTTTATAGACTCTTGTCCTTATTTCCTAGCCACCAATCCGGGTATCCTTTTAGCTTAAAGCATCCACTAACATCATGTCCAGGCCTCTGATAATGTGAGCAGAACAAAGAAGCCTTTTCCATCTTTCTCTTGGCATACTCAAGACTTCTCTCGGTCTTCTTAGTGCGATTCCCTTGTGTTTTTACCAGTAGAGCTGCATTCACGTCTGGTACAGCAGAATAAGGCTTAGCTGCAGTGACTGAGTAAGCAACATTTCCAACCAGTGGATTAATAGACTGAGGATTCTTCTGTTTCTCAATCCGAAGAACCATTGCATAAGCTTGTTTAACTGTTGGAAGCGGTTCCATCATCATGATGTTGTCCTTAACTGTTTGAAAAGTATCATTCAATCCAAGCACAAACTGTACCAACTTATCCTCATTATCTCTTTCAATCAATATGCGAGCTATAGCAGGTGGACACTCTGGCAAAGGTCGGAAATGGTCGTATTGATCCCAAAGCCTCTTCAAAGCATTGTAATATTTCATTAGTAACTGATCCCCCTGTTTCAAACCTATCAGCTCTTCTCTCATGCACAACAACATTGGACCGTTTGCATTACCATATCTTTATGCTAAATCGTCCAAAGCTGTTTTGCAGTAGAGGCATACGAGAATCCTTCCATAATATCAGGTGACACAGCAACACTTAACCAAGATTTTACAGTGCTATTCACTTGTTTCCATTTCATGTATTCAATTGTACCAACAGGTGGCATAGCAAAAGTACCATCAACAAATCCATACTTCAATTTAGACTCTAACGCAGTGCGTACAGACCGACTCCAATTCAGATAGTTGTAGTCATTTAATTGAACATAGACAAGCATAAGAGATGGATTAATTCCATCATTTAGGTTATACACTTTAGCGGGATTGAGAGAGATATTACCGCTAGAAGTAGAATCATCAGTCCGGCGTGCAGCTGCTCCGGCGGGAACTGAAATCAACGGATCGGTACTCGAATTAGTCGCCATTTGATAAGAGCTGGAGAAGACAACAATCTTTGGTTCGATCGAAGCGGAAGAGCAAGAGAGCGAAATTATATGTTTAGATTGAGCTATTCCTGCTCTGATACCATCAAGAGATGGTAAACAGAGGGGAGGAAGAAGCCATGGTTAGGATTTCGACTCAGTGAGAAAAAGGGAAAAACAATGATATCAATTAATTCTGTAAAAAATCTTCACTCAATTTGACCACCTATACAATATATATATATATATATATATATATATATATATATATATACTGCTAACTACCATTCTGTATTTACAAATATACCCTGATCTAAGTAATTACATAATTCTGTGTACAAGGTTAGAATGATAAACCATCTATTACATCATCTAAAACTGAATCTTCTCTACAGTTATCAATCTGTACAACTGCTGCTACTCTTTCATAATTCTTCACACTCAAGAGTGGCTCCAAACTAGCTTGTTAGGGGAGTAATAAAGTCTCTTTTACCCTTTTTGCCTCTTATGTTTCTGCATTGATTAAAATTTCAGCTAGTTGCGTATTCCTGCTGCACTTTCAGTAGATTAACATTTTTGGTTCCACAATTAATGAAGAACTGGCTTTCGGTAAAAAGTTGAGGTGGCATATGCTTTTGATAAACTCGAAAGAATTGCCTTACAACTGCCATATTTTAGAGATCAGCAATCGGGGTTAAAAATTGACTAGCAGTAATGTTGCCACAAATAATGAGTTCCAGATGTCCTTAGTTTCAATAGAATTACTGGGTGAACATGGTTAGCCATATTGATAAGGATCTCTTTGTTACTGAGGTTAATCTGGAAACCGAAGAAATTGATTTAACATCCTTCTCAACTATCACTGCGAAAGTGTCACAATTTTTGAACATTGCAATTCTTAGGTAAGAAACTAAAATATGGAACTTTAGCTTCTGCTGCAGCATCTGTTTTTTGCTTTGCTGCTATTTTTTCGTTCTTTAACTAGGTCAACTCTACTATCTGCTTGGGGGGGTGGGAAAATAATAATAACAATCTGATGCTTCCTCTTATAAAACAGTCCCCTGAGATGTATATAATAAGGTACAAAGTTATATATATATAGAGAGAGAGAGAGAGAGAGATCCTCGTGTCTCCTACTGATTCTCATCCTGAGTGTTGTTGCTCGCTTTTGCAGAGCCCTTGTTGGCACTCATGATTGCGTCGAATTTTTCCGTCTTTCCCAGCACAATTTCGATCTGAACAGTTATCAAAATGATGATGTGAAGGTCAATAAAAAAAATTAAAAATCTTTCTTATCTGTCTCTTCTTTTGATCAGGTTATATCTTTAGGTACACACATGCATGATTACGTCAATGCATCCCTGAATGAGAAATTTTATGCTCTCTCCGTCCCAAAATTATTATCCAGTTTGGATTTTCATTTCTAGTTCAAATGCTTACCCTTGCTTTCTGAACGACACGACCTTTTGATTCGTCTTTCATTCCAACCGTAGATGTTAAAACCTCTGTTCAAAATCAACATTACCTACTGAGCATGAAAGTAAAAATATAAAGCTTTTAAATCATCTAAAATTTTGGGCAAAAAAAAAGAAAACCTACTCTTTTCTGTAGCCAAGCCTGTATTCTTCAAAATTTCTGCAATTGTAACAACTGTGGTGATGGCTGCAAAATTTTAAAATAGGAAAAGATTTGTTCATTGTAATGAAAAAAAAAAACACACACACACACACACACGCATACACACACACATCAAATCATCAAAGCATGTGCAGGAAGTCGAATCAAGTTGGAGAACTTGAGCCTGAAAAATTGAGAATTAGACAGAGTGCTGGAAAACTTTCTCAGAAACCGTTGATTTTTCTTCTCTTCTGGCCTTTGAATAGGATTAAGGTTATTTGTCTTATGCAAAGAAGAAGCATATTTAATTTATTCTCCTGGCCATTGTCAATTTATATTCATTTTACTCTTAGTGTTTTCTGAAAAGATAAATTTACTTTTACTTCATGAAGTGATATGCATTTGCCAATGCGGATAAAAATGAAGTCCTGAATTTTTTTATTTTTTTTTTTCACTTTTTCAATAAAGTTTAAAGGTAGCAAGGTGGTTTTACCCATTCCCAAAGCTGAAAGCTCAACCTCATTATGCTGCTGGATGTATCTCTGCACCAGACAATGAAGAAAAAAGCAGTAAGTGCCAGGTTTCAAAATTATTGCTCTAAGAATATAGGAAGAGTTTATTGTATGGACTACAAGTGACCCAGAGAATGAACAATAAAAACCATCTTCCTGTTATGAGTGCATTATTCTATGCACCAGTATTTTTGATTCAGTACTAAATGTAGCTAAGCTCAAACTAAGCTAAGATACCGACACATAAATCATCCAATGAGACTATATATCCTATATCACGTAATTATTAGCACATAACTCTCCCTTCTCATTTGACAATGTTTCTATAGAATCGAGTTGCTCAAGTGACCCGTGTTACACTTAAAAACCGGTTCCCTAGAAGGCAGAAAAAATGTATAGAAGCATCTGGTTGATAGTATAGTATGATGAACTTTTCGCCAATCCTTTTCAATGTCCTATCATCTTACACATGTATCGCCGCGGCATTCAGGGCCGCGAGGCTAATGACCATTGGGACATCTACATCATGCAGAGAAAAAAAAAAAAGAAAGAAATTGCGAACCACCTTTGCAAGATTGACGTAAAAGAAAAGTGGTTTCTTTGTATTGGAGACTTGAATCCTGTTCTTCCTCTGCTCAACGGCCGGGGCAGCCGGTCCTCCGTTAGCAGTAGCGGCATCTTCCATCGTCATGCTTTACAAATTTTTCAAAAGCCTTGTTCAAACTGGAAAAACAAAATTATTTGGTGTGGTTAATTTGCAGTTTTTGATTTTTGGTTTTATTTGGGTTCTTTTTCCTCTTTATTTTTCTTGTTAAGCAACCGTGAAAAAAACATAGAGCGGTAAAATGGGGGACCTATGCAAGCTCGAAAAACCTGTAATGCCATTAGAATTTAAGGGAAGAAAGCTTTGACTGAGCAAACCAGCAAATTATTGTTGATAGGTTGTTAGAATTAAGCTAAATGATGGCTACTAAATTATAGAGCCACTAAAATTATTTATTACAATGGTTATGTGCCCAAACAAAAATTTATTGCCATCATAGTTATGCACGTTGTTGGTTTTTTTACTTCATTTTTTCTTTTGTTCAATCTATATTAATTAATAAGGATACTTCTAATTTGGGAACGGTTTTACTGTCATTTGTTATTCTACTTTCTAGAGGTTGCTAAGTGTTAACCGCACGACCTATATATGCTCTAGATTGCACTGAAACAAATTAATTATGCGAATTTGAGCTTTACCAAGTCTTATTCAATTAATTGAAAAATTTTAGCTCCAACTACATCAAAAATACATTCACGACAGCATAAAATGATGTCGAATTTCTTGAGTAAAAGTGTAAGTTTCTTTAGTTTAAGTTAATTTAGGGAATGATTCATCCTCGGGGAAATAATTATACTTGTCTATTCTAAAATAAGAGTCATTTGACAATTTTTTCACGGTTTAAAAATAGTTAAATATTCTAACACTAATACTATCTTATTTTGGGAATAATTTTAGAAAATTTAAACAAATTTTGTATGGTTAGAATGTGACATTTACTTTGGAATTTTTCAATTGACTTTAATTAACAATAACAATTTGTTATTGCCAAAACAACAATTAACATCCAAAACAAAATTATAGTCTTCTTCTACAATTGCCCTTCCCAAGTCAAGCATGCATTTGTTTTACATCTTGAAACCTACACAACTACATATCTTGAAAAAAAAATAAAAATAAAAAAAATCAAACAACTTCACATCTTCCATTATACTTTTAGCCTATCACGGTAACTACTATATCAATTTTACAATATCTTGGTGTTGATTATAAACATGACACTAAATGACGATCACATACAGTTTTTAAGTATATAACTTCGTGTAATTTGTAATTTCTGCAATAATCAAGCAACAACAGGAAATGATCTAAAATTTGACAGAATGGTTATGATCATAAGAGGAATATAAACATATTGGGTATAGGAAAAAAAAAAAAGTCTTAAGTTATTGGAATCCATTTGAGAAGGGAATTTTATTTCATATTAGGATCCTAAGAAGGACCTTGACCAATAATCTATAGTGAAAGAACAATGATAGCTATGAACACCACAATTGAAAGAAGCACTTTTCAATTGATAAGTCCCTTAGGAAACACAAAACAGAATTTTGTAATAATCCGTCAAGTGAGGTAACAACCCAACACTAATTTTAATGAAAAATCAACATGTTTACAATGAAGAATTCTGCCCCAATTTATACGAGAGGAAGGAGCACGAATTTAGACTCCTAAAATAATAGAAAAGAGTCTCGTAATCATCCTAATCCTATAATCTAAGGAGATAAGATAGGAATTAACAACTAGGACTCTTATCTACTAAGAATCATATCTTATGTAATCTACCTTTCCATCTTGGATTCAAATAAAATAAGCCAATAATGAATAAAATATAAAAATCCTAATACAAAGAGATAATCTCCAAAAAAAATCTTATCCAAGTGAAAAGATAGAATCCTCCTTGAGTATAAACTCTAGCATTATTTTCTTTGTAGAGTGATCTTAGACATCCATCTTGATGCATATCCATGCATGTATAGTAGACATCAATTTGAAGACTTTTTATTTAAGAAAAAAACTTGCAAAAACTCGAAATTAGGTAAAATGACAATTCTGCCCTTTTTAGTGAAAAGACAATTTTGCCCTTGGGATTTTCGACCCTTGTAGAGATCTTCCCGGATTGATCTGCTTGTCATGATTTTCACCTTTTATGCTATCAATAATATATATATATATATAGATATATAGAATGTCTACTAAATTTTATCGCAGGCAAATAAGGTTAATAAAAATGTAAAAGAATGATCGTTAAATTATAAAATTATTAAAGGATTTCGACAAATATAATGAATGCATTTCGAGAGAAAACTATAAATCAAAGATTGTCGTAGAGTTGAAGAAGACAACTTGCAGAATAATAAATTTCAAATGAATGTAAAGAGATTTTTTTATTTGTGAATTTGAGAAATGGAGGATTTGCAGGATTTTTTTTTTTTTTTTTTTTTTAAGGTAGTGTCTAGTACGAGCTTTGCTGGTAGGAGTAAGTGTTAATCTAGAACCTTAATTGTTGTGCGAAGGCTACAATTAATTTGTTTTTTACAGATTTATTGTTACTGAATTACTTCATATTCTTTTTCCTTGTTGTGCCACGTGTTGAAATTTTTGAGGTATTTAAAAGGGGTTTGAGCGGGAAAAACTTCTAAAAGCTGTCATTTTTTCTTTTTATAAGTTGTTTTAATTAAGTAAATAAATAATTGGGATAAATAATTAAAAGCATCATTTAATTTTAGATTCATCGAAACGTATTTGAATCTCAGACTCTGTAATCAATCCCGCCTTTTACACATGTCGATGTTTTTTGAGCATGTAAATAAATTAAAAAAAATATTGTTCTGAAATGAAAGAAAGAAAGGAAAAAAATAAAGTCTACCTTTTACTCACTTTGATCAAATTATTGTACTCCCACAATAATTGTACAACAAGTAGAACAATCTTTTTGGGACGATGAATAACTGGTTCATAAAGGTTGGATTTTTATAATGAAAACCTTGTTACTTGTCTCCTATCTTGGAGTCATTCAAATTTCCATCATTCATCATTCTTTGTTTGTAAAGAAGACATGATTGAATCCTGTCTCTTCTCTTCTGAAGGAACACACGCAGTGATTTCTTCAATGACATGCCATCATAAGGTCCATGGATTAAACGAACTTGCATTGATGGTTTTCCCGTTTTCTGGTTCAGCTTGTCTTCCATTTCTCTTCTAGCAAGCCAAAGGATGACTCTTGCCTATAGTAGAAGTTAGACCATGCAGAACAATGTGAACAATGACTCATATATATTTTCAATCAATATGTATAATGTATATATAATTCATATATATTCTTATGATCGTGTTCAAATGAATCATCGAATAAACATGAGATTTTTACTGCTTATTTTAGAAGAATTTATATTACCGATGGCAGATCAGAATCAGAATATCGAAGACAATCTTTTTTTTTTATTTGTGTTTTAGTCAAAAAGACCATTAATGAGAGCACACTTCTACCTCATGTTTCTTACTTGAATAAGAAGGGGTTAAAAAAAACAAAACAAAACAAAAGATGCTTTGGTAAAAAGGATTCCCTTTTACCAATGACAAAAAGTTTTGAAAACCCTAAATGCCCAAAAAAAATTTCTCCTTTTGAAAATGATTCCCTTAAAAACCTTAGTGAACAAGTTGTTGCATTTTGCATGAAAATAACATCACGAAGCTAAAATTTTTAATTTTTTACTTAATCAAGGATACTAATAAATACCTGAAGTTCACTAGCATCACAAGCGCTTACTGGTGGTCTCATGCTAAGCTCTGTTGATAGTGCAAACTCGTTGTCTTTTGCAAATTGGTAATTAGGCCTGTATCCAAACATATTGAGACCTAATTATGCATGCAATTCTAGGAAATTAAGGAAACCTTTCCAAAGTGATTTGCCTTCTTTGTTGAGTAATAATACATAAATAAATTTCAAATAAAATTTTCAAATCAAGTTTTCTTTTCATTAATTGACTCCACTTTGATTAAGGTTTTTGGTAAACAATGGATTAAATTCAGCGTAACAAATTCCTTGGTTATCAAGTACAAGTTAACCAATCCATTGATTTAGTTTCAAGAAACATGCAATCCTTTAGCCAAATAGTTGAACAGTCTGACCTACAATATGAAGTTGATAAACAAGCATATATAACTTCCCAAATCTGAGAAATTTCTAACATAATAATTTGTACCCTAAAATTACCCTGCACCAAATGTCACCATTTTCCTTTTTAGGTAGTACTCATTTTTCACTCTAAAAAATAATATAAAATAAAAAGAAAAGAAAGAAAACACACTTGTTATCTAGTATCTAGTTGACCAAAACTTCATATTTTGTTATTTCCAACTTCATACTCAACCTTTAATTATCAGAGAAAAATTCATACTCAAATTTTACAAATCCTAACCTTCCGCTGCTTGTAACATTTTATTTTCCTGTATCGTTTCAATTTTATCGGATGTCAAAGGCCATTCAAAATCTAACAACAGTTTCCAAAAGGGATATGTATATTCTTATGGTTGTGGCCAACAAGATCAACCACCAAATTGCAAACAAACCAAAAAAAAAGAAAAAAGAAAAAGTTCAGATGAAAGACAACTAAGTGTTGAAAAGATGAGAAGTTTTGATCGGAAAACTCACACTGTTGGGTCCCGGAAATCGGAAGATTGACCGGAAGAAGCTGTGGCTGAAGGAGAGGACAGTTGAAGATCCAGGTCAAGGCTATGGCAACCCTCCTTCATTTTTAATCTCTTCTATATTTTATCAACTCTTCTTCTTCCTCCTAACTTTTCTCATGCAAAACCATTTCCAGAAATAACAATAAAATCTTTTGGGAAAAAAATTGGTTGAATGGCACAACAATGTTAAATGAATTCCATATGTGAGAAAAACCAGAAATGGTGAGTAATTAAAACAGAATATTCAATTTAGAAAAAAAAAAACTTAGAAATAAGAACAAGAGTGAAGTTTCTGAGAAGCGGAGGAAGACCGGGAAATATTTCAGCAATTAAATGGGGATCCATCAAAAAGTGGATTTATAGAGATGATACGAACGACGGGAAAACAGCACAATAAATAAATAAATAATAATAATGAAAAAATATAAATAAAGAAATCATCAACGTGACCTAAATAAAATAGAGCATGTGGAAAACATGTGTTTTCAAGCACATTGCCTACATATACTCCTCCTACCTTGTCGATGTCAGATTTCTCCAATCTGCCCCAATTTGTACTCCCATCTTCCTCGCAAGCACGTTGGTTTTTTAAGGAATAACTGGATTTAAAAAATAAAAAAAAAATCACGCTTCCCCAAATATTACAAGGAACATAGACTAATCCTCATTTAAAAAAGATAAATTGTTTTTATCAATATTGCATGTCAGTGTAATGAGTAAGTATGAATCGTAGTATTTTGGTCAACTTATTAATTTTATCGCCTGGATCAAAGTGGCTGCTCTCGTATTAAAAATCTAGAAATACATCTTTTTATTAACATTATTTTTTTTTCTTAATCATTTTATAGTAAAGAATTTATTCATATATAGGATATTGATTCGTGCATGAAAATTTTACATGAAATTTTTCATAATCGTTTAGGAGTTTAAGGAATAATTAAAATTCATTCACCTCGTTCCTTGTACATTTTCTAGCCAAATTTTTCCTGCGCTATCACCCCTCTTATTCATAATATGATAATTTTTTTCATTTATTCATTTGAATTGTGAACCTTCGTTTTTTTTTTTTTTTTTAATTCTGGCACGAGATATTTCTACTTTTTGATTTGTATACTTCCAAATATGGAAAGTCCGTATCACTCAAGTAATAGATTATGCTGGACACTGGGTAGCGCCCACTTTGGTGCAAGAAACTTTCATCATGTGAAGGAAAAGGAAAGGTCATTTTAGTCTATGTTTTCAAACCGGACCGGTACATAAACCGTTCTTCTTATTGGATCACTGGGATATTGGGTTGTACTGGTTAAACCGTTTTTAAAAACCGGATGACATCATCATGATGTCATAAGTACATTAAATGTATAATATATGTTTACCAATAAAATCTAATATTTTGTTAGTAAGTATAAAACTTTTCAATAAATTTATAACCTAAATTTATCAATTATAAAATTTATAAGGTCAAATTTATTAACAATCTAAATAATAAGGACCTAACAATAATATATATGCTAATAAGTAATAAACCCAAACCCTCTCCTTTACTTTTCTCTACTCCACGCAGCAGCCACTCCCGCTTCCCTTCTCCCTCGTCTCCCTCTGCGTTTCATCTTCCTCTTTTTTCTACCATTTTTTTTTTTTATTTGGGGGGGTTTTCTTTATCCGTTCATGCATCTCTCATTCATTCTTCTATCTTCTCTTCTTTTTATATCTTTTCGTTTATTCATCTTAATAGATTATTGAGTTTAAATTTTTGTGTCTTTGGCTTTTTGTTCATTAATATCGATTGGAAGGAGACAATTTGGAGAGAGGTACCTCATTACTGCAAGGAGAAAATGTTTGAACGATTCAGTTGTAAAGATATGATGAAATAATTCGCAGAATGTTGTGAAAATTGTATGAACAGAGAAAATTTGGTGAGATTAGAATTTTTTTTTTTGGAATAGAAAAACTGGAACCGCGATCAGCCGGTTTCATCCGGTTTCCGGTCGAACCGGGGATTTGACCGGTTTTCAGTTCAAACGGTTATATGTAAAACTCGGCCCGGCCACTTTTCCGGTTTCCGGGCTAACCGGTCCGACCGTCCGGGCCGGCTCGGTTTTAACAACATAGATATCTTTAGTTCATCTAAACGGAACGTCTAGATTTCTTGGCCCTGTTTGCGACCTTAATTTCTTTTTATTTACTCACTTTCAAAAATTGACCTTTTACATTTTTATTTTTTTTTATTTTTTACATAGTATGAGATGAAATATTCTTGACTTAATTCATGATAAAAATTTTAGCATTAAATATTCGCCCTGTGTTAAAATAATTGTCCCATTTAATTTTAATTTTTAGTACAAATATCTCACACTGAACAATCATTTCCGGCCGGAGAAGTAATAATTTAGAAAATGCAGATCTGTTTCTTTTATGTAGTGTCGACCGCAAAGAGAATGATTACAACACAGCAAAATGCATAACCTAACCATTTATTTCTTTTGGCTCTCTTACGTATATTTAGGTTCAGAATGTATTTATTATTATTAAATTTTTCTCCTTGTTCGCATGTTGTTTCTACGATTAATGTGAGATGATTACATTTAGAAATTCTCCAGAAGAAAACATTTAGAATATTGAAGAAATTGGTTACTAATCCGATTGTGATTTGCCACTCTAGAAACTTTAACATCAGAGGAAGAAGAATACTAAATGGTGTCAAAGTACAGAACCTGCTACGCACCCAAATTAGTCGCAAAGGTCACACAAAATGACACATATATAGTTTATATGTAATACTGTCTTCGTTCTAAATAACAAACTATACTTTGATATTCTTTTCTAAACAACGTGTGCATTCAGCGATTTTGACTATATTTGGAATCCAAATTAAGGATTGATTCTTATTTTGCATATATATAATTGTAAAGTTTAAAGTTAATAAAATAATTTAAGCCTTTTCGTCTTTGCTGAAAACGTCTAACAAAAATTACTCTAAATTTTCTATTCTTTTCATTTCACTCAAACATAATAATTATTTTTGGAGAAATTGAATGGATTATTAATTAATGACTATCACTACTCTCTTGCATGGCAAAGCTAATTCAATAGGAGGAAAATTTTCAAAGAAGCAGATTGAAGTTTGTCTAACGTGAAATCACATGGCACGTTCAACCAAATTTTTGCACCAAAAGCAAGCCATTTTCCATGTGCTACGCACAATGGAAGAAAGAACCATTTTTTTTTTTTGAAATAAAAAAAAATTGATGAATTTTAATTGGATTATTATTTATAGAGCAGTACTAGTACATTTTTAGTTGTGGTGAACATTGCAATATTTAGTAGGAGCCCATCACGTCAACATCTCTAACTCACCACATCACAATTCACAACTGCCTTTTCCGCAATCATAAATATCTTTTGATCCCACAAGAAAAGTTTTGCTATGTGAGAAAAATGTGTGTTTTCTTCTTTTGGAAAGCGATGATATTTTTTCCTCCTTTGCACCTACAAACCCACATTATGGATGTTGGAAATCACATTGAAAAGAAACGATGAGACTGATAACTGTGTATTACAGGTTGTCTTATTGGAAGATGATGTGTGAAGTGTTGGAATTCATGTTTCCACCAAAAAGAAGAAGAAGAAGAAAGAGATACTGATTTTACGTTATAAGAAAAAGAAAATTAATGGTATCTGAACGAACATGTATTTTTGAGACTGATCACAGAGAATATATAAAAGAACATTTTACACTTTTAACCCAAAGGGTCGCATGTGAATTATTTCTTACATTTTTAGAAACTAATCAAAGTGGGGAAACTAACAATTATGATACTATTACGTGGGTAACTCGTGTTTCATCCACTGTTCAAAATGTTATAAAAGAGTAATGATATTTGATGGGGAAAGAAAATTATCAGTAAAAGTTACAAGAAATGACTTGATTTAGATCAACTAATTTTAATTTATACCTTGGTGTTTAGACATTCAAGGTGGTGGTTAATTAAGATTTTAGGATGTGATTAAAAGTTGAAACATCCTCACAATTTTCCCCTCTCACCTATCACTACACTACTCAATGTAAATATTTTGAAAATCAAATACTGGTGCAAAAAATCTACAATTAGAGTTAAAATTGTTTAATTGTCTTAGCTTAAAAACTTGAGGTTTCTTGTCATTTTAAGGTTTTCTTGTGTTGATTTCATAAATGGATTTTTCCTTAGTCACTTCAAACCAGTGGTTCTTCTTCCAGTAGATTTCAACAGTCAATAGAAGGCCTGAAGGCTTTTGCCAAGTAAATTTGAGTTCACTTTTACCTTCAAACTTTGGTTGGATGGGATTTGAATTGGTTTCCTTTCGTCTCAATTTTCACACGACCTCCTTAACCCATTAGAGCATTAATCAATATGTACACATTCTACGAATTTGAAATTACAACTGAAAATTTCACCCAAATATTCAATGTAATATTTCTAATCTAATATCATACACCATCAATATTGAGGTGCTGATGCACAGAAGCACAAAGCAATTTTGCTCAAGTGCTTAAACTGAGTCAATAGTCATATATAGTTACATGACCATTTCCAGATTATATGATTCTCTAATCGGTTGTTCTGTACATTGTGATTCGTCTTCACTCAGTGAGAAAGGTCCATTTGTTCATTGTCACTGGAAGTTTTACCTGCCTCTCCATTAGGGTTTTCATTCTGATCATCACTAACTGTTGCGTCTTCATCGATGTTTTCATTTTGATCATCCATGTAAGCTTGCGAGCTCACTACATGTCCTGTCAAGTCTTTATGCTTCAGATTTCCTGGCAAAAAACACACAGGGTGTAACTGTTAATAATTTTGCTGACACGCGTCAGTTCCCGGATCAGAAAAACAAGAAAAGTGAATGGAGCATGACAAAAGGGTTACACAAAATAACTTCACCAAAAGAAATGGAAGGAACAAGCAGCAACCAAGAAAATAGGGAATTCTTTGAAAATTGCTCACTACTGAGAAGTAGTTTCGATTTAATCTTAATTTGGTTGCAATTTCAATGAAAAGATTGCTCCTTACTTGAATCTGGGATGGAGTGTCATTAATGTAAAACAAAAAATGCATGCAACTTCTCCACTGGAGAGTGAAGGGTTTTAAGAGATAGATGAATCATGGAACATGACATCAATATGAACTCAAGTCCATTAGATTGAATTTCTCCAAGTCGGAGAAGAGTTTACTTACCCATCCAAAAGGTACATTCACCAGTGGAATGAAGAAGTGCCTTGACATGAAACAAGAAGCGTTCCATTGATCTCTTCGTTGCAGGAATTTTACTGGTGATAACTGTCTGTTTTGATGCCTTGCATAAAAGAAATAAAAAGTTCTCATTTAATTTCGACCATATATACTGAAGCATGGATCATCAGTTATACAGAGAGCTAAGTCAATAACCAACCTTTGCTTCAGAACAGAGGCTCTGCATGGTTCTTGTTGCTTTTTGAAGTTCCTTAACCTGATAAATAATAAAATAAAAGAGTGATATAAAAGCTCGAGTTCCTTCATTTCTAACTAAATATGCAGAGGAAGTTCTTCACCCATCTTACCACATGAATTATCTGCTTATTGTGCGTTTGGAAATGATTCTGTAGGAAACCAAAAACTAGAGAAAAAAAAAAAAAAAATTATCAAATTCAGTCCCTTAAAAGCTATGTTTTCTAAAGTACAACTTCCCTCAAAGACCTTTTAGAAAAGTGTCGATGAATTTCCCTCCATACTTAACAGCCATTCCATGCACAGCTACCTGTTCATTTTCTCCACGTCAAGTTCTAGGAAGCATCACTTAGGCAGATTGTTAAAGACATAAATTCAGTGATAATTACCTTTTCGTGGGTCCTGCAGCTATTAACTAATGATACAACCACATTTACCGACTGTTCTAGCTTGTTCAAGAGTTCATCCACATTTTCCTTTGAAGCAACAGCTTGAGGTTTCTCTAACCGTGCAATTTCCTTCATCTGGGGAGAACAGACGAGCGAAGATGTAAAAAGCATTCAAAAGATCCAATCTTCAAGGAAACTAGAATTTTTTACTCACCAGATTATTAAGTACAGCTACATTTTCCGCGTGCTGCACCATTGAATTGACATGAGTTATAGTTAACCAAGGAATAAGTTTGCACAAACACCCACCTCTCCCTCACCCCAAAAACATAGAGGGATATAAACAGAGATGAGAGATAATTCCTCACCATCACCCTGTACCAAGCAGCAAATGTTGCTGGGCAAAATGTAGGTAAAGTACAGATATCGTCTTCTTCCACTGTTCTTCGTGAATTCACCTAATAGAGAAACAAAGTAGATAGCGTCACATTGTCAGTATTATAATTATGGAGATCCTAAGGTTTCTAAATGGAAAATATAGTATATGATTTCAAAAATGATGCAACAGATTATTGTTTCTGGCATCAAGCGGTATGAGATGCATGCATGAGCGTGGAAATGCTCCTGTCGTATTGATTGTACAACCAAAAATTAAATTACAATACTCTTCAAAGTTCTACTCCCAGTGCATTTCAAAAACAAGGAGGCGAATTTATAGCTTCAAACAGTTCGCATACTACTCGGAACAATTAGAGTTAAGTTTATGACCAATAGAAACCTGTGGCAATATTGAGCATGCAAGCTCATTCAGAGAATCAGAAGTTGACTTGCTATATGCCAAATATATGTGGAGTATCTTCTGAAGTATATGTCCCTGCAGTACGAGGAAATGAATCACTCTTTCATTCTTCAAGTAGAATTTATCAAAAGTAAACTTATTAACACACAATATTAAGAAAAGATTAAAAGTAGTGTTGCACACTTTAGCTTTTGAGTTCTTATCAATAACATCATCACATTTCTGGAACAACAAATTATGAGAAGAAGCTCCCAGTCTGTTGCTCAGAAAATGGAGGAGTTTCCTGGTATATCCTGTGTCATTTCCTTTGATCCCTTTTGTGGATATATCTACAAATTTTTGGATGGAAAGAACTACTGAGTTTAAGACCAAAAGGCCTTCCGAAGCCAGCTTGAATGAGAGGGTCCTTGCTGCCAAAAACAATAGTCATTAGTACGTTCAAATCTTGCAAGAAAGAAGTCAAACAGCTCAGCAGAAGCCATAGTATGGAAGTTACCCGTGTCAAAGACACCTTCCAGAAAACAATATGCCCCACAGAAAAAGTAATCTATACTTCCTGTTGCTGGAAGTGATTCCAGGCATTCGAGGAAAGAATCAGGAATATTGACAGGCTGGAGAGCTTCAAGAAGGAATGAAAGAGCAGAATGGTCTTTCAGAATATCCCAACAATTCAGCATCTGACGTCCAAAAAGAGAAACACAGCTTGGAGTTAGTTCTCACTTAAGGGGGAAAGTACTTAATGCTTTCACAGGCTAGTTTTTTATTTCAAAATATCAGAAAGAATGAAGCAGAGTTCACCTTGCCAAAGCAGGACAGTATCTCTACAAAGACAGAGCAATAAACCGCCGATTTCGTAACAGTCATGTTAGCAATGTTCGGATTTCCAGATAACACGGATTGATGGTTCCAATGATCTTGACAAATTTCAGCCCCTACAAATGTACATTGTAATAGTTTAAAGAACAGGATGACACCCCTTTCAAATAAATAGAAGAATGGTGCTCGGTTCCAGTACCTTCTTTAAGACCATTAAAGGCACAATCCAGACATCCTCTAAGAGAAGGAAAAAGAGGGCGAATGTTGTTTAAGAATTTAGCTTCTTTCATCTCAGTGGAATCAAGCTGCGTGCTCATGCATTGCAGAGACATTCCTTTGCTTGAAGAAACAAAGTAATCCAGCTTTTGATTCAGGTCTTGTAAGAGATACAGGTGAAGAGGTAACTAGGAAAATTAAGAGTAATTAGACACCAATTGATGGAGAAAAGAATCATACAAGAAAACACTGTTGGCACAGAAACATTGCTACAGTATGCAGCAATTTTCCGATATGTAATTGATGGAAAACTGGAAAAAAAAAATTAAAAAAAGGAAAAAAGGTTAATATAATTTGTGATCGTACCTCAGCAGCTGGATCACTGCAGCAAGGGTCGGGGTTCTGCCATACAAGAGGTAAACAATTTTTTATGTTCGAATGAAAATACCGAAAAAATAATAAATAGATAAATTATAAAGAATCCCAATATAATCAAGTTCCGCGTTCATTCATATCTCTTCGAATGTAGATGTTTGACTTCATCCAATTCATCAGGGGCTTAGAAATGGCTCCTCCTCTCATCATGATGTACAGTACTCCCTCTTAACCAGTCCACAAAGAGTAACAATCCATATAAAAGCTTATAACAAAAGTAAACTTTTATACCTTCTCAAATGATAGGATGGTGAAGCAACAATCTTGAAGAGGCCTGAATTTGCGTTTCTGAGCTTCAACCATCTTCATATCCCCAGAAATTTCAACATTCGGAGCCGCATCACTTTCAGTTGCATCCTGCTCTGCATCTTCACATGTACTGGCCGCTACACTGGTGGACTCCTCATTCAAAGATACTTGGCTAGTAACTGGACCCACTTTTTTCAGCATCTCTGTGATTCTAGGCTGCCTGAATTTTCCATCCATAGCTGAATTATCTGATGCTTTTGTGGTTTTTTTGCTGTTTCTCTTGCAGTTCTGGGAGGCATTTCTCTTTTCTTGACTAAGCTCGCTCTTCTTTCCCAAATCCTCAACTGAATGAAACCGGTTTGAAGTTTCCGGATGTATACAAGGGTAAAGCTCCGGTAAAGATTGGGGGCACCGTTTAAGAGACTCGTTTAGTAAACTCTCTAGGAATCTGAAAATAATGAATCAAAAAGTAACTTAATCAAAACTTGGTTGTCTTTTTGATATTGCAAATCTAAGTTCAAGGTACAAACAGCATAGAATACAAGCACACATACGTATTTACTTTCCTGCTTCAAACATTTTATTCTGAGCAATTGTTCTGGATAGATTGACCGAAAAAGCAGTCGATATCTGCGGAGGAGTCACTCATTAACTTGACTATTTGTATTGACAGCATGAACTACAAGGGGAGTAATTTACCAGGAATGTGACAATGGAGCATTAAGAAGTTAATACTTGTTGTACACATGGGAAATCATCTCAAAGTCTACATTAACAATCCATACACAATTTTAATACTGTAATAAAGACCATGTAACAAACTGTAGCTAGCATATATACGACATTTACACAAGTGATTAAGGACAAAGTGACTTCAGTACCACTACATCTTCTTGACAGATGTCATCAACTTACAGTTTTCAACTTTTGACAGCTACAAGACATTTATGATGACAGTTGAAAATGACAAATAAATTAATCAGTAAATAAGCATAGATCAGCATACAGAATAGTTAAAATGGGCTCAACCAACCATACTGCTACTTAAGAAATGCTTTAACTGGAGGTACCATTCATACTCCATAAGTACTAAAGGTATTTCGAAAACATACACAAGGTTCCGTAAGCGTCTCAACAGTTTATGAGTTATCTCCCCTTTTGTCGCCTGACTAATGGAGTCAAAGTCTTCAGCAATTTGCAAGCAAAATGCATTGAGCTGAGAAAAGAAGAGAAACATTAGATACAAATGCAACATTTTGCTAGCTGCCGATTATGTGAAGTATAAAGCTCAACAGTACCAGTTCCCGTATCCAGTTCACGGCATAATAAAGAGAGAGGACAAGAATTTGCTTTTGCTTCCCACTCAAAGATCGCCATATGGAGTAAGAGAAGTACTGGTACAAACAAGTTCACGAGAAGTAAGCAAAATATCAGCAATAAGGCCGGACAAGATTTTATGATAATGAGTAATGGAAAGTACTCAGACAAAACATTTTGTATTTTTTCTTCAGCACAAGTGTAGAAAGTAGAAACCCTTCTCTTTTGATATTTTAAGGCACATTCTTTGATTGCTTAAAGACTCAGATTTCTGCAGAAACATGTTATTCTGCCTTTACAATCAAAGGTCCAAAATCTTTGAAGAACCAGGACAATAGAATTTGGAATTTTGGATGCACAAAGGTCTAGTTAATAATAATATACTAATGAAATCAGATAATGACTTTGTGCTGAACTATTGAAATCCACTTTAACTGAAAAGTGCATGCACTTCTGCTTAAGCACCATTGCAAAGACCAATTTCGAAGTCAACCAAAGATCTTTTTATTCTGAGACATTCTTATAGTAAACTTCACTAAACGAAAAAATTCTTTAAGTATGTTTATTTTATCAAGAAAATATTCAAGGACCTTTTATTGCTGCATGATAACTTAAACATTAACATTTACTCCCTCCATTCTATAAATTATGTCATTGGAGAAAAAATCAAAATTTTCGAACTACATGTTGTTCTCACAAATCTAAGCATGTTTTGTCACTTATTTCCACTATCGCCCTTGCATGGGGAATTGTAAGTGTGTTTAAAGTAGAATTGTTTTAAACCTGATAATTATTGGGACTAGAGTTGTATTGAGAATAAATAAGGGCAATCCAGTATTTTAACAAGGTTATTTATTGTCTCCTTAATTTTGCGAAATCTCCCATCAAGTCTAATGAAATTTCCTCCAAAACTTGAACAACTACAACAACAACAACAACAACATACCCAGTATATTCCCAACATACCCACCAAAACTTGAACTAGTCTTGATGAATTTCGGCTCACTCACCTTAGAAGATGGAAGATGTAAAGGGCATCCTAAAAGGGCATCAATACCGCCAAGAGATCCTTGATTTGCCAGCCTCTCAATCTGAATTTAGATTAACAACTGATTATAAGATCACATTGGTCTTGGAAGAGAAACACAAGAGATTTCATCCACTTACTGCAGAAAGCAACACAAAGTAGGCTGGAAGGACTTCTAACGGAGAAGGTGACCTGGAAATAGAAACATAATCATATAAGTCGTGCAAGTTCATTATAAAACTATTTTTCACAAGCATAAAAAGTGCAAAAAATTCACACAATACTCCAATTTACTCTTAATTACATTTGAAAATGAGAATGATATCAAATTTGTGACAGAAGGATATTGCATTAACCTACTATGACTTCTGATACAACGTTAGGTTCTAAATCCTATTATGGTTAACAATTCTCCATCTTCAATTTACAGAAAGAAGGTTGAAAGAGAGCAGCAGGTTTCCTAGTTAGTCGTTGCAAAGGTTGGTCTCACACATTATTTTATCAAGCTTCTATAATCCATGTGTACACATCCCCAAACATTACTATTATAAGTTTGTAATCCTATATAGCTGATCTTCTACGAAATATGTCATTAAAAGTAACTTAAGCCCCCTCTCCAGCCAAAAGATTTAATTTATAAATGCAAATTTAAAGAATCAGAGGAAACTCACAGGGAAGAATAGAGAAACTTACAGTAGTGAAGAGGAAACAAGAGGTAAAATATTTAGACATACAGGAGATATATCTCCATCGAGATTCATCCATAGCTCTCCTGAAACAAGAACAGAAGGTGGATAAGTTGCTCATTTGCACTTAAACTATTGTGACAACGGAACTGAAAATAAACATATCTCAAAAATTGCAACTGAATATACCTTCCAAACCACAATAAGAGTCTTTGGATAGTAATGCACCACCACTCAGATCCAGTAAATATTTTGATTCAAACTCTCCGACATGCTTACCTATCCTGAAAGGCAAGAGTATGCACACTTAAACCTAACAAATGCTTAAACTTGCATGCTGCAAGTTAGAAAATTAACATCTATTTTTCAAATCACCATTCTGCAATTGCTGGATGGAGCATCTTCGTTTGCACAGTATCAGCCAGTTCTTCATAAAACAAGATCAAAGGTAATGGCAAGTGCTTGCATGATTCGAAGGATGTTTCCAGGAGTTCAAGAGCTTCTTCATAATTTGACTTCTACAACCAACGTTCACCAAATTTCAGCAGCAGGCAAAAAGGTAGAATTGGAATACAAACAAATCTTCAATCCATAAAAAGATGCAAGAGGTTGAGTTCATCCATATTGAACTAAATATATAGCCATGCTATGACATGTATATTTCATGCAAAGAATAAAATAAGAGAAAGTGAACTACATAGGTTCTTTCCTGTGAAGGAAATCTAAAAGAGATCAGAATGCAATTATCTTCTTGAGTGTACACATCAAAGCAAGCTAAACCCATAATTGTTCCAAGTATTCAATATTCATCATTCCTGACATGAGCCTCTTTCTGAATATTCTATTGCAACGTGATCTTCCTACCCTGAGACATCAGTTTGACCAGAATCTATTTTGCTAGTTATGCATCTATAAAAATTTCCTAACCCCAACCTTCAAGTTTATGTTGACTGTCGCAACAAAGGAATAGAAAGATGAGAATTGCTCTCCTTTAAGATTAAACTCAGCAAAATCTGTATGCTGATCAAGAGATATTTGACAATTATCTCAGTTGAATCAGATTAATGGATTGGGACAAGGTTCATCTCAAACATGGAAACCTTTAATAAGCGATGTCAAAGAAGCTGGATACATGTAAATAGAAAACTTATCCTCCACAAGATTGAATTAGAACTGATCAAGAAAAGACACTACCAGAGATGGTGAAGGACTGGAATTGTTTTTTACATCCCCAAGATGGAAAACAATCTTCAGCGTTCCAATAAGGCCCATCCGCTTGTAAGCAAGATCAGGATTGTTAACCTATTCAATCAAACACAATGATAAGGAGCATGACAAGCAATCAGGAATATATAAATTGCACATCAAGCAAGAATTTGCATTACTACCTGCTTTCTTATGATCATTAGAAGTTCATTTTTTATTGAAGATCCACACTGGTCAGTGCTTGATTTAGTGAAAAGAGCGAGAATGCTGAAAATTTCGTAGACCTGAGCCGTCCAATATAAACAGTAGCACTTAGAAATGGTATCTGGATTTTGAAAAGAGCATACGAATACGAAGTTAGAAACATACCTTGTGCAATCCTTCAATGTTGAAGCTCTCCAAGTAATCCAAGATACCTGTACCACGAAGATTGCTGGTGAAAAGTTCTGAAGATATGGAAATTAAGAACAAGTTTTCGAGTATGATAAAAGAGGCATTTTATACCAATTAAATGAGAAGAAAGTTTAATTAACTCTTGTGGATAATTAGAGGCCAGCAGAACCATAACCTCCAAAGCAGCATTTGCTTCATAACCGATGCCAGAGCCCACATGAGTCACTAGTGCTCCCAAAACCTTTTTAAAAGAAAGGCTTTTACAATAAGCTTGCAGTACACAGACTCCTTTTTTCCTTTCTTGAATTTTATCACGTATATACAGAATTTATAATATGATTAATGCTAAAGAGAACTGACCTCCTGTCTCAAATAAGTATTGTGAAACTCTTCGAAAAGACATTTGTACAAGTGATTGCCGAATTCCCTTGCTCTCTTTTCTTTGCATGCCAACAAATACTCGGAAATAGACAGGAAGATCGGGAGGTAATCCTAATTCATGGTAATAAGATGTTATCATATGCTTCTAACAGATTAACTTACTAGCTGCGGAACCTGAACTTCGTTACACAAATCCATAAAAGTGTCTACAGAACAATGTACCTGAGCCAACTCTTTATTTCCTTGTATGCACTGATCGAATAGACGTTCTTCAAGACCACCTTCCACGATCTTTTTCTTAAGCAAATTCTGAACAATCTTCTGCATTGACTCTGAATTCATATAAACAAGAATCAACAACCATACATCTATCACCTTGTGGTCCTGAACTCTCTCAACACTTTTCAATTCTTTCAGAATCTCCTGGCAAAGTGTCTGAAAGTAGACCATGAACACAAACTTGTAAACTTCAGTGAATGGCTCCACCTTAAAAAGTACGTAGATTGAATTTTATTCATATAATGGATGAGTCAAACATACACTTTTAAATCGTAGGCTTGATTTCAGAGCATCAAGAATTGAAGCCTCCACATCATCAGCTACAAGTTTCCCTTTGTGTTTGTTGTATGGATTTCTCGATATATTAGAAGTTCCCAGAAATTTCACTTGTTCCCGGACCTTAGCTATTATATGGCGAGCATTTTGGGGAGTGGCAGACAGCAGCAAAAATCTAAGAAGGTAAGGCATGTTCTCCACCTCAACAGTTCTAATGCAAGATAATGCTACTGTGTTCACCTGAGAACATTTAAGAACCACATTAATGCAAATTGTGATCCTAATGTTTCATTCTCAACATGTCAATATAGAATTTCAAGTATAATCTACTAAAGAGGGATAATTACCTCATCTCTTAGCAAATCATCTAGGATGAGGTTCGAGAAAGTATCGAGCACGGGAACAATTATAGAGGAATCTTCATGGAGCATCTGCTGAAGTGAATCAACTACAACTTTGTTATTCTCGTCACCAAGAACCTCTGGTAACGACCCGATAATCTCTTTCTTCAAACGAAGAGGGCAAATTGACAGAATTTGAAACAGTTTCTCAGTAAATAACTGAGAATCCACCAGAAAGTCAAGCCAGCGGAACTGGTTCAGGATCAATCTGGCTATATCCTCATCAAGGCTTACAGATGATGGTCCCAGTATATCATTACCATTATTGATCTCAAAATACTCAGGAAGTTTCTCGAGCAATAAAATCTGAACGTCTAGTTGGATTGATTCAACCAGCAACAGTACTCGAATCAAGCTCTCATTTCGAACCGATCCAGTGTTTTCGCAATGTGAAGGCAATAAGACTCTGTAATTCAGTAAGTTCATATTCGTAAGGGCACCAAAGTTACCATAATCAAATGGCCCATACAATAACATTTATGGAGTTTTGAGTTCAAAAAGCAACATGGTCCGGTGAAACACAATTGCTAGATGCTTCAACATGGGAGAACAAATTAGAAACCAAATATCTCTATTCTTGCCATGCAACACTAAAGAGTGCAGAATTAATAAATTCCTATTTAATACTTCTACATGGTAAGATTGATCGATATGTATTCCCTCAGAAAATTTTCCTGTTTCTGCTATAGACTGGCAAGCAGTGGACTTAAACACAACTAGCTCATGAAACCCAAGCCGGATATAGTTCTTGCAGTTTAGACCCTAAAAAAACAGGGATATGTACTTCATCTTAAACTACCCAAAGTACACATTACGAAGAGCTAAACCTTTCATATCAGTACAACATTGAGAAACTCAAGCAGATATCTCAGCTATTGACTCAAAACTCAATACTTCAAAGAGTTAACTCCATGTTCACCTCTAAACTAGAGGCACCTGAATCTAGCATTTGTGTGAACCGATTTTCATCAAGTATAAATGGAACAAAACATCGAAGAGGATTATCAGTTTAAATTAATTAACTTCAATAAAAATAAATTTTCAAGAATTGTGTCATTCTAGGTTTAATCTCTCCTGTCCTTCTAGCAAATCATTTCTAACTGGAAGAAAAGCATCAATCAGACAGCAGAATCCACGGAAAATACCAGGTGATTCAAAAGTTATAGTGGGTTGAATATGAGAACTGTCACTTCGTTCAACCAATTTTCTTCAAAACATTAAAATGGGAAGAAATTTCTGGAGAATAAAAAAGGGACAGAAACTCGCTTAAAACAAAGGAGAAGTACCCTACCGGCGCAGATTATCAGATGAAGTGTTGATGTATCCAGAAAGACCATGGAGAAAATCGGAACGAAGGGCTGCTTCATCGGAGAACCGGCGGTGGAGACGGTGGCGGAACTTATGCAGGTCACTAGGAAGGCAAGTTGGTCCGGCAGGGTTAATCAAAGTACAACCGGCGTCAGCAAGCACTGCAACAAAACTATCTACAGCTGAAGGAGGAGACAAAATGGAGTCGTTTTTAGGCCGGCCAGGATGTTGATTCGAGGAGGTCGACGGTTTGGGGACTTTGGCAGGATTTGGGGCAAATGGAGGAATAAAGGAATTATTTGGTTTGGTGTTTAGACTTTGAGCAGGTCGTTTCCGGGAAAGCACCATTTTTACCGGTGAAATTGGTTTCTGGTTTTTTGCTACATGAGGTGGCGCAGGTGGTGGTTCTCTGTCTATATGGCAGCAGCCGGACGGGGAGTGGGAGTGAACGAGGCGCCAAAATCATACAGGGTAATCTTTTTTAAAAGTTTTTAATTATGGGGTGGTGATTTAAAGGGTCTTTTCCCTTAAAAAATTAATTAAAATAAAAGTGGACCAAATTATTTTTTTGAAATTTGTGTGGACACAACTATATCCTATGGATTTTTAAATTCTGAATCTTCATTAAAATTAACCTTCAGATTCGAAAATCCGAATCCTCGTATAATATTAAAATAATAAATATTTTTATTTTATTTTGTGAAAATACAGTAAAAAAAAAGAGGTTAGAATATGAATAGTAGACTTCGGATTTCACAAATCCGAATTCTATAAATTAAAATAGAAAATTGTGGCGCCAATTTTTTGAATCAGAGAATCGAATTTTCGAAATCCGTATTTATTAATATTATAATTAAATATTACCATTAATTCAGTATAATTTACTTGTATTAGTGTCATGTGCTATTTGTACGTACTAGTATTATATAGTACATTAATATTATTACTCATTATACATTATTGGTACTATTGTTATTTATTACGGTTAAATCTGTTAGTCATTATATATTATTGTTAACTCAATGTAATTTATTTGTACTAGTGTTATGTACTATTTGTACGTACTAGTATTATGTAGTACATTAATACTAATACCCATTATACATTATTGGTACTATTGTTATTTATAATGTTAAATCGGTTAGTCATTATATATTATCACAAAAAACAGTATAATTTATCTTTACTAGTGTTATGTACCATTTGTACGTACTAGTGTTATGTAGTACATTAATATAATTACCCATTATACATTATTGGTACTAATGTTACTTATTACTGTTAAATCTATTACTTATTAGATATTTTAATTCAGTATAATTCATCTGTATTAGTGTTATGTACTATTTGTACGTACTAGTATTATGTAGTACTATTAACATTAATACCCATTATACATTATTGGTACTAGTGTTACTAGTGTTACTTATTACTTATTAGATATTTTAATTCAGTATAATTCATCTGTATTAGTGTTATGTACTATTTGTACGTACTAGTATTATGTAGTACATTAACATCAATACCAATTATACATTATTGGTACTAGTGTTACTTATTACTGTTACATCTATTAAAAAATTATTAGATATTATCATTAATTTAGTATAATTTATCTGTATTAGTATTATGTACTATTTGTACGTACTACTATAATGTATTACATTAATACTATTACCCAGTATACACTACTGGTAGTAGTGTTAGTTATTACTGTTATATCTATTAGTTATTAGATATTGTCATTAATTCAGTATAATTTATCTGTATTAGTGTTATGTACAATTTGTACGTACTAGTATTATGTAATATATTAATACTATTACCCATTATACATTACTGGTACTGGTGTTACTTATTATTGTTAAATCTATTAGTTATTAGATATTATCGTTAATTCAGTATAATTCATTTGTACTAGTGTTATGTACTATTCGTACGTACTAGTATTATTTTATGTAGTACATTAATATTAATACCAATTATATATTACTAGTACTAGTGTTACTTATTATTGTTATATCTGTTAGTTATTAGATATTATCATTAATTCAGCATAATTTATCTGTATTAGTGTTATTATGGTTATTTATTATTGTTAAATCTGTTAGTTATTAAATATTATCATTAATTCAGTATAATCTAACTGTACTACTGTTATGTATCTTTTAAGCAAATAATCACATTTTCAGAATCTGAGTTAAGCAAAAAATTGGATTTTCAAAATAAGGCCATAGGGTTTAGGGTTTAGGGTTTAACTTCAGATTTCCCAAATCCGAGTGTAACTTATACTCGGATTACCAAACTCCGAGTGTAACCTATATAGGGTTTACCAAACTCTGAGTGTAACATATACTCGGGTTTAGGGTTTAGGTTCGAATTTCTAGAATCCGAGTTTAGGGTTTAAGGTCGGATTTTTTTGAAATCCGAAGTTAGTTAAAATTTGGATTTTTAATATCCTATTTGGTTCAAAAAAGTTGGATTTTAGGCTTTAGGGTTTAGTTCAATGTGCCTTGTGTGATATAGGCACTACCTGGGTGAACGTATATGTAAGTGGTAGAAATTCGAGCGTAAGTGAAACAGAAACAGAGGGACTCGGATTACTGAAATCCGAATGTATTCAATTTGTAAAGAACACGGATTTGCGAAATCTGATTGTGGAAAGCATGTGGCACTACACATTTATTAGGGAAACAGGGAAGGTTCAGATTTCGAAAATCCGATTCGTGTCCAAAAAATTACCAACACTTGTACAAAAAAATTTTTTTCCAGAAATTAATATTTTAATCATAAATTTAGATTTCAGAAATCTAAATTCTGATTAATTATGTCAGATTAAAATTTTACTTAGTTTTAGTTTTAATTAAAATGAATTCGGATTTTTAAAATCCGTTTTCTAATGAATTAGGATTACCGAAATCCGAATTTACCCCAGATTTGGATTTCGGAAATTCGAAGGATATAGTTTTGTCCACACAAATTTCAAAAAAATTAATTTGGTCTACCTTTTTTTTAAGAAATTTTTTTTGGTCAAAAACTCGTGATTTAAAACTGGAGACAGATACTTTTTTAGTCCTTATACTTTGATATTGCTACACAAATGATCCAAGAGTTTGGATAACATGATATCCTGGAAATAAATTTCATTGAAAACCGACACATAATTTGTAACAAAAAATCCGTCTCACTTAACCGTTCAAATACCAAAACTCATTGTTTTTTAGTATCATCTTTAGTGTTAATGTTTTCGCCAGTAACATCATTCAATGAAGAACAAATTTAAAAAATTGTAAATATTCCGGCATGAATTATAAACATACAATATAATTTTGATCGAAAATGTCCTTTGTTATACATTTTGTGAATACATTTTTTTGGGTACACTAATACACAGCAGCACTAGGACAATTTCAAATTTCTTATCGTCCAGCGTTATACCGACTTTACTTAGTTGTTCGCAAGTTTCTTTGAAAATAATATTTTTACATTTGTCAAATACTTTGAAAATAATATTTCATTATTCTGAAAAGAAACGAGACCAAATATTAGTAAAAAAAAAAAATAGATTCATGGCTAAGTAATAGTAGCCCAACGTTATACAACAATAAGTTAAAAAAATATAGGAAAAGTATCTTCTCTTTCATAAGCATAATTTCCAATTGGTGTATTTCTTTTTCATTGTTACAAACAGGACGACCCTAAACATGACATCTCAACTGTTTGACATTCTAACTAATATTACTGAACCATTTAATCCCTTCATATATCAAATTTTCAAGACATGTTAACAACAAACAAATACATAAAATTACTATCCTGGACCGCTGAAGGAAACAGAACAAATTGTATAGTGTTTGGTAGGTCTATGTTGGGTTATTGATAGGGCTTTTGATGAGAATCATAGAGCGCCTCATGGATGTCCTCCTTGTAAGGAGAGTGAGCAAGTTCTTCAGTCTTCTATTGGTCTTTTTGGAATGGGAATTTATCTTTGTAGACCAATCAAAGAAGAAGATGGACGTGACTATGTGATAGGGAGTTGATGCAAACAAGCTATGATTAAGTTGTTTAACCGGTCATTAATTTGGAGATCAAATCGAAGGAGATGATTCAATCATGGAGATTAGTACTGAATAGTTTTCAAGTGGTTACAACTCAAGGTGCAAACCATGAAGATTTTCGATCGAACAAGCTGAGAGAGATGTCATTTAGGTTCTTCAGTGGACGGGCTATTTGATGAGAGTTCGAGAAAGAGTTCATTGCTTTGTGTTTCGGTCCAATGGTGTCAATTGGAGCGTTAATAAAGAGTTTTACAAATATTGGAGTGAAATTGAAGTCTTCTTCAACAATAGGGGCGCAAGTCAATATTCCAAAGGTGGAAGGGGGTTCAAAACCTTTTACTTCTTTATTTGGAGTCAGTTATTTCGAATTAGAGTTGTGTCTTATCTAGAAGTTTTTTTTTCGACTTTATCTAGTAGAGATAAGGCATGTAGGCTGAGATAAGCTAGAGTGTCTTTAGGAATTATCTTAGAATCTTTCTTAGCATTATCCTTTCTAAGGATAAGTCTTTGTTTAGATAAGGTTTCCTAGATAGAGATAGAGTCAAAGAGATCAATTTCTCTTAAACTTCTACTCCTGTGAGAGATAAGAAAGAATAGAGTCCTAATTAGTCTTCTTTTTAGGTGCTTAGTTACCAAGGAAGTTAGCCTATAAATAGATAGCCTGGCCAAATGGGAGAAGCACCTTGAGCGGTCATTTGTTTTTCTTTGATGAGAGTCTTTTCCTTAATGGAATTTTGTTAAATGGTAGTTCCATTTTTCGTTCAAGTTTGCCTAGTTCGTGGAGAATTAGCATCCTATTTCGGGTCTTTTGAGATCTTGCAGAAACCATTCTTTTTCAAGCATGCTTGTTCATATAATTGTTTTAAAATTAAACTTCTTGTTTTCATACTTCTCTAGTATTTTCGAGAGATGTGCCTTTTCTTTGGCATGGGTTTTCGGATTCATAATTGTGTGTTCATGAGTTCTTTTGTGGGGTTTATCCTTGGAGGATGAGTTTTGCTTTGGTTTAAGCATTTCGAGTTGATATGTCTGTTGCATATGTTTGTTGGTTATGGAGATTACTAATCAAAAGTACTTCTCTATAGTTGAGCATTGTTTGTTCCTACATTTCTTGAGTCTTTGAATGAGTGATTGGTCGAGTTTATTGAATAGTATCCTTACTATTTCGTGTAGGTTGTCATTTAATTCGAATCTTTCATAGAGTATGTGTTCTTTGCTTGATTTAAATTAAAGAGATAGAATTCGTTAAATAAACGATCGTCTTACTGTGAGTTTTCTGCACTCTTTTGA